CGCCGAGCCAGGATCCCGGCTGGCCCAGACCTGCGGCTGGAAAAAGCGACTCCACTCACACCATCTGGGGCCTGGATGCGCCCGGGATGCAGGACGCCTCGGCGGGCCAGCCCCGGAGGCTGCGTGTGACCGGCCCGGAGCTGGCCTCAGAGCCCGGCCCCCCGGCCCCCGCCCCAGCCCAGGAGGCAGCCAGGGCCGTGTTCCAGGCGGAGACGGGCAGCCTCAGCCGGAAGGAGGCCAGCACCGCTCACCTGGTGGACCCGGGTGCTGAAGACAGCAGGCAGGGCCCCCTCGGCGGCTGGCCCCCGCGCGGTGAGCAGCGCCCCCTCTCCGGACAGCACCCCGCAGCGGGCCAGCCCCCCTCTCCCGGGCAGCCCCCTCTCCTGGGGACCCCGCTCGCCCGGCAGCATCCTCTCACCAGCCAGCCTTCCTTTCGCCAAGAGCCCGCCGTCCCCAAAGAGCCCTTCCTCTCCAGAGGCCCACCGTCCGCCAGGGAGGCCGGCCAGGGCCCCGCGCCGTGGCAGGAAGGGGAGGCCGTGGGTCTGCCCGTCCACGTGGGGGTGCTCCGGGCGCCCCCGGCCCAGGAGACCTGCGTGTATGTGAGCAGAGACACGGTGGGCCTCGGCGTCCCTCCCGGCCCCAACGCCCCCTGGCTGTCCCCCCGGCAGCCCTTCGGTGCTCTCAGGGCCCCCGGGGAGCCGCTCTCCCTGGTCACGGTCACCGCGCCCGGCACCAGCTACAAGGTCTTGCCCGTGGCCGTGGGGGGCGCGGCGCCCCCGGGCCCCCGGCTGAAGCTGACGGCGGAGGACCTTACTGGCTCGCCGGCGGTCACCAGCCTCGGCCTGCTCAGCGGGGCCTACGACGCTCCGCCGAGGCCGCCCCCCGGGCCCCGCGGCCGCGCCCAGAGCCCGGCCGCCGTGGTGATCGACACGGGCTCCGGCTTCACCAAGTGCGGGCTGGCCGGGGAGGACCACGTCCTCAGCGTGCTGCCCTCGCGCGTGCAGCTGCTGCAGCCGCCCGGCCCGGGCCAGCCCCGGCACGCCATGCTGGGCGCGGGCGGCGGCGCCTGCACGGTGCTGAGCCGGGGCGTGGTGTCCGACTGGGACGCGCTGGAGGTGCTGTGGCAGCACCTGTTCTACTGCAAGCTGGGCGTGCGGCCCGAGGAGCTGGCCGTGCTGGTGGCCGACTCGCCCGTCTCGCCGCGCACCAACCGCGAGAAGGTGGCCGAGATCCTCTTCGAGTGCTTCCGCGTGCCCGCCATGCAGACCGTGCAGCAGGCACTGCTGGCGCTCTACGCCCACGGCCGCACCACCGGGCTGGTGCTGGGCAGCGGCCACGGCACCTCCTACGTGGCGCCCATCCTCTCCGGGGACCTGGCCCCGCTCCACACCTACCGGCTGGACGTGGCCGGGGCGGACCTCACGGAGTACCTGGCGGAGCTGCTGCTGGCCGGCGGCCGCGCGCTGCCCAAGGCCGGGCTGGTCAGCCACCTCAAAGAGACCTGCTGCTACGTGGCTCTGGACGCGCAGGCCGAGCTGGCCCGCGCGCAGGCCCGGGCCCCCGTGGACTTCGTGCTCCCGGACCAGCAGGTCGTCAGCCTGGGCGCCGAGCGCTTCCGCTGCCCCGAGGCCCTCTTCCGGCCCCACCTGCTGGGCCTCCGCCAGCCGGGCCTCCCGCAGCTGGCCCTCCTCAGCGTCTCCCGGCTGGAGGCGCGGCAGCAGGAGCAGCTGCTGGCCAACGTGGTGCTGGACGGGGGCAGCACGCTGCTGCGCGGCTTCCCCGAGCGCGTGCGGCAGGAGCTGGGCCCCTGCGCCACGGTGCTGGGCTCGCCGCACCGCGCCGTGGCCGCCTGGCTCGGCGGCTCCATCATGGCCTCCCGGGACTCCTTCCAGAGCCTGTGGCTCAGCCGCCGGGAGTACGAGGAGGAGGGCCCCTGGGCCATCTACAAGCACCAGCTCTGAGACATAAAGTTCCCTGCCGCCGCTCCGAGTGCGTGGCGTGCTTCCGGCCCGGGAGTGTGGAAAGAATGGGGTCGGGGGGGGGGGCGGGGTTCGGGGACGGGGCCCTTGGCGCACCTGAGTCACCCCAGCCCCCCAGGTCCCCGCAGCCTCTCCCTCCCGGAGCCCGGGGCCCCTGGGCATTGGCGCGGCTCTGACCTTTATTGCACCCCAAGGGCAAACACAGAGAGTGGCTGCTATGGGTTTTGCCCCGTTGCCCTGGCGACAAGTGCAATTACCCTGATTGCCAGCTGGTTGCCATGGCAATTTCAAACATAATGTAATAACCCACACAGCCTGGAGTGAGTCACGGAGGGGGCAGCCCCCTCCCCTTGCTCCGGAGGAAAAGGCTGTTTGCCCTCCCCCATCCCGGGCTCCCTTCGGGGGGCTGAGGCCGGCAGCATGGACGGCAGCCGCAGCGCCCCAGGTGGCCGGGGACTGGGCGCTGCTGGCCTCCCGGGACGGCGCCTGTCAGGCGGCTGGCTTCTCGGGGAGCTGCCTGGCTGTTGGGGCGTTGTCTCCTTCGTTGGAGCTTCTGGGGCTCGGTGCTGGTTGGCAGGGGAAGGGAGTGCTGCCTCGGTGTCCAGGGCAGGAAGGGCGGGTGAGAGGGCGGGTAAGGCTGGCTCCGGGGGGTACACCTGAGCTGAGGGTGGGAGCCAGCATAGTCAACTTCTGGCTCCCTTCGGCCCTTTAAGCCCCCTCGTCACCCACAGCACGTGGGTCCTCCTAGGGGCTACTGGGCAATGCCAATGCCATTGCCAATGCCAACTGCCCCTGCTCTTGTCCCAAGCTCTGCCCTGCGCTGGGCCTCCCGCCGTCTCTCTGGCCTGGGCTCCTGACCTGGTCTGGCTCTGAAAGCGGGGTGGAAAGGGCGCTGTCCCCCAGCCGTGTGGAGGGAGCTGGTGTGGCTGCCGCCTCCCCAGAGGGCAGCCTGAGATGGAAGCCGCGACGAGGAGCCCTCCTCTCCTGTGCGCTCTGCCGGAGCTGAGGCTGAGGCTGCAGGGAGAGTGGTGCCCAGCCCCAGCCCTGGTTCTGTCTTCGGGTTCCCGCTGCCCAGAAGACAAAGCCCGGGTTCATCTCCCGCCACACACACACACGCACGCGCACACACACACACACACACACACACGTGAACCTGAGAGTGAGGGGCTGCCCTAAGAGTAGAGACTAGAAACAGCCAAATGGCATAGGGTTATCACAGCCCCTGCCCACCACCAGCCTCATCCCGGTCCTTCCTGTTAGCTGGCCCCACAGCCCGGTCCAGTCTCCACAATCCCGAGGCCTGTGTCACACAGGACGGGACCAGAGTCCCAGGGACCCGTGGCTCCAGGGACTAGCGGCCGCAACCATGCGCACACGCGAGCGAGCACGCCTGGGTGCACACAGAATGCAGACACACGTGCCCCGGGCACCATGGCACACAGAGTGCTGCTGCCTTCTCCTTCAACAGAAGAGCTGTGTGTGCGCGCACGTGCACACGCACACACACACACTCACTCACACACGTGTGCACACACCCTGCCACGTGCTCTCACCCACAGGCACGTGGAGTGTGCAGAGGACCCAGAGGGGGGAGCCCTGCGAGCAGCCAGCCGGGCCCAGCAGCCACCTCTCCCCTCCTCTCGCCCCATCCCAGTCTCTGCCCAGCCCAGGCTCTCCGGCCTCGCTGCACATGGCCTCAGGGGACTCGGGGAACGGTGACATTGTGACCTGCGTGAGGTCAGCCACCATTGCTCTGCCCTCCGTGCAGCTCAGAGCACCACTGTTTCGGGGATGATGGGCAGACAGCAGGGAGGACGGGGGGCAGACAGCAGGGAGGACTGGGCAGACAGCAGGGAGGATGATGGGCAGACAGCAGGGAGGATGATGGGCAGACAGCAGGGAGGACGGGGGGCAGACAGCAGGGAGGACTGGGCAGACAGCAGGGAGGACGGGGGGCAGACAGCAGGGAGGACAGTGGGCAGACAGCAGGGAGGACCGCTTGGGGGCTCTCGTTCATTCTCAGACAGCCGAGCCACCCGGGAGGGGACACGGCTCAGCGCTGTGGACACCAGCTGGCCGCAGGCTCCTGCCCGCAGGTGGCCTCAGGCTGCCCTGGAAGAGGGGACCAAAGCCGGGCAGGGCGGACAGGGTCCCCACGGCCTCGTCTCCGGAGGCAGGTGCCAGGGCACTTCCCGGGCAGCCTCCGCCCAGCCCCACCTTCCTCCGGGGAGTCACTCCCACAGCCCAGAGGAGACAACATGGCAGAGCTGGAGCTGGCCCTCCCAGACGGGGTGGGGGTAGAGGCCTCGGGGCTGGGAGGGGGACAGGCTGCCCCGGCCACGTGCCCCCCTGAGGAGGGACCGCAGTGGCACGGCCCCCCTCAGCGCTCCTGCGGGCAGCGCCCAGCCTCCCGGGAAGGCCAGCCCGCATCAGCCAGCAGCCAGGCTCCGCTGGGCTTGGCCTCCAGTGCCCTCTGGGCCGAGGGAGGTCCGTGTGCCCAGAGCCCAGCCCGGGCGGCTGGTGTGCCCCTCGCCGGTATGTTTGGGGGTGCCATAACCGGGAAGGAAGCCGAGTCCACAGCACCAGGCAGTGACTCTGGTTTGGGAAATTCAGGGCCATTGAGGAGAGGGCAGACGGGGCCACCCTAGACCCCCGGCCCAGATTGGGGGTGGCAGAGGCTCCAGCCTGCAGGAGTGGAGGCCGGTGGAAGGCCAGTCTGCCTGGGGGTCCCGGACCCTCCCTGGCCACCTGCGCCCGCGACTCCCAAGGGGGGCAGGTCTGGGGGCGGCTCGCCTGGCCCTGGCGCTGTCCATCGGGGCGTCCACTTGGGCTTTGTTCTTTGGGTCCCTCACTCCCAGCGGGGGACGGAGCCGGGCCCCTGGGATCCCTGCCACCCAGCCGGCTCAGGGCCTGAGGGGCCTCTGGGTGTCCGCCGGGGGCCTGGGGCGCCCCTGGGAGCGGGCTGCAGCCCGGGGCTCCTCCAGGTCGGGGCGGAGCCGGCGGAGAGCCCGCCCCCAGCCCGCCCCCGGCCCGGGATGCGAACCGGCGCAGGAGCGGCGGCGGGAGATGCTGACGGTCCGCGAGCCGGAGCGGCTGCAGCTGGTGCCGCGTCTGCCCCGCGTCAGAGCGGACCCCGCCCGCCGCCCCGGAGCCCCGCCGCCCCCGGACCGGCCGCTGCTCCCCGCGATCTCCCGGCGCTGCAGGTGCGGGCGGGCCGGGCGCGGGGTGGGGGCGCCCCGAGCGCCGGGCGGTCTGGGAAGACGGGGTCTCCGGGTCTCCGGCCCGAGGTGGGGGCGCCGGGTGTGGGACCCCGAGGGCTGGGGCCGGCCAATCAGGGGATCAGGGGCGCGGGGCTGGGCTAAGTTCCGTCACCCCTGACAGCCGGGCCCCAGGGGAGCCCGGACCGAGTCCAGGCGGACCTCCTCCACGGCCCCCACCCTGTGCGCACCACCCCCCGCGCGCTGGCTCCCATTGTGCGAGCGGGAGCCGCAGGCACTGAGTGCCCCATGGGGAGGGCCCCGGCCGAGCCGACCCTCCGGACCCTCAGCCCGCCTGCCCTCCTCCCTCCCCGCAGGCAGCCCCGTTCCTGTGACAAGGGAGAGGGGTTTGGGGGGAATTTATTTATTTTTAATGGACGACGACCTGGAGGGGGTTGGGCGGGGCGGGAGGAGTGGGGAGGGGGCTCCCAGCCGCTGGGACCACCAGCCCCTCGGCCGGGACCTGGCTCCCAGGCTCAGCCGGCCGGACCCCACCTTGGGCGGCGGGCGGGGGACGAGCTTCCGCTGGGAGGTGCGGGCTCGGGCACACGTGTGCCTCCCGCATGTGCGTCGCTGTGCCAGCGGGGGCGAGCCAGCAGCGGCTCTGGGAAGGAGGTCGGGGGGCGCCCGGGTGGGGAGCAGGGCCCGGGCTGGGGGGGGGGGACAGGGAGCGAGTGAGGGTCCGCCTTTCCAGCCTGTAGCTTTTGGCGGGGGCCCAGGGCCTCCCCCAGCCCCTCCGCTCTGCAAGCGCTTTGTCCATCCCCTCCCAGGCAGAGCCTGCGCCCCAGGCTCTCTCTTGGGGAGCAGGCCCTTCGTCCCTCTGGCCACTCTCCTCCCGGCCCGGCTTTGAGCCCCCCAAGGGGGTGCCTCCCCCACCGTCTTCCCCAGTGGATCCCTGTCAGCTTTCACACCTGCGGGGCCTGAGTCCCTCAGGCAGGGCACTGCTGCCTCCACTTCTCTCAGTGCCCTGCTCTGGGGGGACAGGGGGGCAGGCTCTCCTTTCCTCTGCCTCCCAGCCCCTGCCCTGGCCACCACTCACTAGCAGCCCAGCCGCTCCTGCCCTGGAGGAGGCCACAGTGTCCGGTCTCCGTCCAGGGAAACAGGCACGCGGGGCGGGCAGCTGTCCAGTTTCTAGGTTGCTTAGGGGCTGAGCTGCAGGACGCCCTGGCGGAGGGGGCAGTGGTGGCGGGGGTTAGGCTGAGCCCCAGGGGCCGGGCCCCCAGGCCAGGAGAGGCCAGCAGGAGGGGGAGGAGCCGAGCGGGGCACTGAGAGGAGGGGCCCTGAAGGAAGCAGCCAAGTCTCTGAGATCCGAGATCCGTTTCCATCCCCCACACCCGCCCTTCCACGCGTGGGGCCGCCCTCCTGAGCGGAGCCGGAACCCCAGCCGCCGTGACGAGGGCTGGACCACAGCAGGCCTCCGCCGGGCGAGGCTGGCCTCTGCAGGACAGGCGCCCGGTGGTCCCCGCCAGGTGTGCAGGGCACGTGGCATTCCTGAGGGCTCTCTGGCACCCACAGGCCCTCAGGACCCCGGCCCGCCTCCCCTCTGTGCCCTGGGGCTGCGTCCTTTCCCTCGGGCCCTCTCTGCCCCCTTCCTTCCCAGGCTGTGCCTTTGTCTCCCCTCCTCCCTGCCCCACTCGCTCCTGTCAGTGCCCCCTCCTCCCCACCCGCTGGGGGCCGGGGCCCCGGAACCCCTGGGGCGGAACCTGCCTCAAGCCCCAGCGAATTCACCCAGGGGTCTGGCTGCCATCTCTCCCCTCCCCCTCCCCTTGTTTTAAAACTTCCATCACCATAGCAACCCCTTGCTCTCTGAGGCTTCCCCTGCGTCCCCTCCTCCACCCACAGGGCTGCTTTCCGGGGTTGAAAGACGGGGACCCTCTGGCTCTGCCTGTGCGGTGAGGACTGAACTTTCTAGAGGGGACACCTCTCTCTGCAACACCTGGCTGGGCGGGAGGGAGTGGCCGCAGGGACTGGGCCTCCCGGGTCCCCCCACAGCAGCTGGACGGTGGCCGGGAAGCCCAGCTCTGCCTCCGAGGCCAGACCCTGAGCTCGGGGTCCCTGCATCCCCTGGACCTGCCCCGGAGGCCTCCGCGGGGCGGGCAGGGCTTGGGCCCGGGCCAGTCCATGGCAGAGGAGAGCCGGGGAGGGAGGCGCCTGCAGGGGTTCACAGATGCCACTAAATCGGGAGGTGTTGTCTGCAGCTGTCGGAGGCTCCCTGGCCCGGGCCTGGCCCCCCAGCCTCGGGCGCGGGGAGCTGTGGAACCCTGCTGCCAGCGGAGCCCGGAGCGGCAAACGCATTTGTGGCCGAGCAAGGTGGGGCCTGACCCTGGGGAAAGGAGGGACAGGACTCCCCTGTGGGGCTCTGGGGCCCCTGAGCTGGCCTTGGTCCCACTGACGCTTCCCGTGGGCCGGCCTGGCCTTACACCATCTCCACCCGGGACCGTTCGTGCCCGGGCCCTGCAGTCAGTCGGAGGCTGCCTTCGGGGCCTCAGGCTCCATTCCCCGAGGGGGGGTCAGCTGACAGAGCCTGGCCTCCGGCTCCCGGGGGGCGGCCCTGCGCACACCATCCCATTTCTCTGCAGGGAGAGGGGGAACTGGCGCTCGCCTCCTGCGCCTCCTGGTGGACCTGGGCAGAGCCGGGCTCGGGGTCACTGCGGGGAGAGACCCCGCTGCTGAGCTGAGTCTGGGCCTCGGGGTCAGACCTCCCGGCTCTGGAAGCTGCTCCAGTTCTGGGGCCGGCCCTCTCCCCACTGTCGCAGGCAAGTGCTGGGGGCTCGGAGCGCCAGCAGCCTCCCAGGTGGCAGCAGTGGGTGGCAGATGGCAGAGCGGAGGGGGTGGAGGGGACTGAGGCATTCATTCCCGGCCCCTTTCTTCTCTCCCGCCTGGGCCCGCGTGGGGGTGGGAGCCAGGGAGCAGTCAGCTGGCGAGAAGCAGCACCTGGCGGAGGGGGGGGGCAGGTGGACGGCCCTGCCCTGCCCTCGAGGCTCCAGGACCTGGAGGATGCGGCCCCTCCGGCTGCTGGGACTGTGGGCGCAGCGGGTTCTGGGCAGCCCTGGCCCTGTGGGCACCAGGGCAGGTGCGTGGCCAGAAGCCGCAGAGACCAGGGACAGGCACATGCGGGGCCTCCCACGCCTGCGTCAGAGCGGGAGCCGTGGGGTGGGCTGGGCTGGGGAGTTGGGGGTGAGGACGGCATTCGGGGAAGGGCCGTTTTGGGTCTGGAGCAGGGATGCTTTTAGACAGGCTGCTGCTCCAGCACCTGGCCGGATCGCAGTGAAGGAGATGCCGCCCGGGTCGGCGCCTGGGGCTGTGGAGGCTGGTGGGCGCGGAGGGCAGGAAGGTGTGCCCGCACTGGCTGCCCGGAGGGCCTCTGCCGAGCTGGCGGCCGGTCACCTGTTGGTGATGTTTGGTAGTGGCTGGTTGTTGGTGGTTATAAATAACTCTGGCGTGACAATGGAGACTGATGGGAGGGGGGAGGGCACGTCAGAGGGAGCCGTCCGTGTAGGCAGAGCCACAGAGCTGTGCTCCCTGTGGGACCCAGCACACGCCTGGGCCCAGCCGGGGAAGGCGGTCACCGCACACCGGGGCCCCCCGCCATGGTTAGGGCACAGAGATGGCGCCGGCAGGGTGGGCGGCTGGGCCTCCCGTCAGCTGTGGGAGGGGGTTCCGGCCACGTGGTGGCAGAGACACCGTTGGGAGCCCTCACAGTCCACTCCCTCTGCGCCTCCTGGGACGGCTAAGCGGCCTGACTCCCGCTGGGAGAGCCGTCGCGGTCCCTGAGCCCACAGCCAGACAGGGGGCTGCTGGCATGCTCCTGTCCCAGGGCAGGCTGGAGGGAGAGTGCAGGGCTGGGACCCGGGAGCGGTGGGCCTGCCTGGAAGAAGCAAACAGCCTGGGCAGGGGGGGTGCTGTGCGCGGCCCGGCCTGGGGTGCAGGCCGACTCCCCCTGACCCGGCTCCTTCCAGTGCCTGGCTTCCTCCCTGCACTGCCCGCGCTGAGTGACGGTGAGGCCAGGCCGGGCCGGGGGCTGAGTGAGGACGGTGTGCGGCCGGAGGAGCAGAGCTGAGCAGGTTGGCGCAGCCGCGGGCGGAGCCGCTGCGGCCCGGCCGGCCAGGCGTTTGGAGGCAGACTGGCCCCGCCTTTCCTTCGGCGATGAGCCAGTCCCCCTGGCACTGCAGTGCCGGGCGCAGGTGCTGGAATGCCTGGAGCCCACCGCGGTCAGCTGCATGAAGTCCCCCTTGTGCCTGGAACCCCGACCCTGCCAGGGCCTCTCCTGTGAGGTCTCTGTGGGCCGCGGCGAGCAGGCAGCGACCACCGGCAGGCTCGGCCCGGTTCCCTTTTCGGGGCCTTTCCCCCTGCCTGGCTCCTGGCAAACCCTTCCCGCTCGGGCCCAGCCCCAAGCTGCTTCTCCCTCACAGCCTCTCCTGGCTTCTCTGCCCGGATGGGCCTTCTCCCTCCGGGGACTCCCCCAAGCACAGCACCTGAATGCAGCAGTGACCACATCAATGAAAGCAATCAGAGTAAAAACCCCAACAAAGACCACAAACAGAAAGTACAAGCCTGTCCCTCGGACACCGATGCTTGGCCCCAAAGAGAACTTTTGCTCTCTTGGTGGTCCTTCCGGAATAGTGTATAAACTGGTGTGTGCACTTTTAAAAATGCAGCCCCGGCTAGCGTGGCTCAGTTGGTTGCGTGTCATCCTGTGCATTGAAAGGTCGCCGGTTCGGTTCCCAGTCTGGGCACTTCCCCCCTCACAGATGGGATTCCCGCGGATGTGTGTGGGAGGCGACCGGTCAGTGTTTCTCTCTCACACGGATGTTTCTCTTCCTCCCTTTCTCTCTACAAAAATCAACAAAAACATATTTAAAAAAATAACAGAAGTGATGTTAAAAAAAAACAAAAAACCTTTAAAAATTTTACCTTAACAGTTTTAATTTGAAATATAACAGAAATTTAGGAATGTGTCAAACTTGTATATACATTTTTAGAAATTATTACAGAGCTGTGAAACCATCACTTAGTTCATAAATAAGCCCAGCAGAATCCCCAGGTGTCCTGACTCAGTCAGACCCCTTTCTTTCTCTGGAAGGACTCAGGGTGTTTATTTCCTGGCTTTTCTTTGTCCTTTTGCCAGTGTGTTTACATCCTTAAACAGCACAAGGTAATTCTGCCCGTTTTGAACGCTATATGGATTCTGTAATTGATAATATTGATTATAGATTACATAGTCGTGGTTGTCTCTAGTTTTTGACAGATATCAATACTGCAGCTGTGAGCACCCGTGCGTGAGCATCCTGTGTGTTTGTGTATCTCAGCAGGGCAGTTGCAGGCTCATAGGATTTATCTGATGTTTTAGCAGCTGGTCCCCAAGGGCAGACTCGCCCTCCGCCAGCAGTGCCCGTGTTCTCCTCGTCTGTGCCAATGCTCGGCATCTTCAGACGTTCAGAGATGACTATCTGATGAGTGGGCAGTGACAGCCTTGTCATCTGTAAAATAGCTGAAATGTAAAAATCCATTTTGTTATTGTTAATCCTCAGCCAAGAATATTTTTCCATTAATCTTGAGGGAGAGTGGAAGGGTGAGGGAGAGACAGAGAGACATCAATTGCCTGGGCCCTGCAACCAAGGTACATGCCCTTGACCAGAAGCGAACTTGGGACCCTTTAGTCTGCGGGCTGATGCTCTACCCATTGAGCCACACCTGCCAGGGCTAAATAAGTCATTCGCTCCATCTTTTCAGTGTGTACGTTACACAGTGACTCCCTGATATGTCCGTTTGACACTTCCATGAGCGGGGTGATGGGCGTTCGGGTAGCCACGCTGAGTGGCTGGAGGCCAGGGCCGACAAGCAGGCTAGGAGCGGGTCTGACCTCCCTGGAGCCCTTCCTGCCTTGGACTCTGCATCTGGCGTGGCCTGAGCTGGCTGGGGCCTCCCAGAGGCAGCCTCGGTGTTGTGGGGAGCGAGCGGCACGGCTGAGCCAGACCCCTCCCGCCCGTCCTGCCCACAGCTCAGAGCCTGGTCATGCCGTTTGGGTGTGTGACTCTGGGCGACAAGAAGAACTATAACCAGCCGTCGGAGGTGACGGACAGATATGATTTGGGACAGGTCATCAAAACGTGAGTGCCGTCCTGGGGGGCCGGGGCGGGGGTGGGGGGCAGCCTGCGCCGAGGCCGGCTGAGGGGGTGCCTGCTGCTGCAGGGAGGAGTTCTGCGAGATCTTCCGAGCCAAGGACAAGAGCACGGGCAAGCTGCACACCTGCAAGAAGTTCCAGAAGCGGGACGGCCGCAAGGTGCGCAAGGCGGCCAAGAACGAGATTGGCATCCTCAAGATGTGAGTGAGGCCCGGGGTAGGGGGGCAGAGGGAGAGGGGCAGAGGGCGGGGGGGGGGAGGCCTCTGGCCAGTCAGCAGTCTGCTGCGGCCCCCAGAGCCTCTTTCGGGACTCACTCCCCTGACGATGGGTGCTCCCCTCGCCGCAGGGTGAAGCACCCCAACATCCTGCAGCTGGTGGATGTGTTTGTGACCCGCAAGGAGTACTTCATCTTCCTGGAGCTGTGAGTGTGGGCCCGGGGCCCCGGGACACCCCACCCTCCGGGGGACGCCCCCTCCTCGGACCCCGGGGCCCGGTCTCGGCTCGGTGCCCTGTCCAGCCAGCTGCCCGGCGTAGGCAGCCTGCCCGCCTGCTCGCCCCACGCCCGGTCCTGCTCGCGCCGGGCTCAGGGGCTGGATGTCCCTCAGGGCCACGGGGAGGGAGGTGTTTGACTGGATCCTGGACCAGGGCTACTACTCGGAGCGAGACACCAGCAACGTGGTGCGGCAGGTCCTGGAGGCCGTGGCCTACCTGCACTCGCTCAAGATCGTGCACAGGAACCTCAAGGTGAGGCGGGGCCTGGCCCGCGGGGCCCGGGCGGCTGGCGGGGGCCGGGCCAGCCCCCGAGGCCCTCTCCTCACGGTCCGTCTCTGCCACCCCGCGCGGCTCCTGGCGGCAGCTGGAGAACTTGGTGTACTACAACAGGCTGAAGAACTCCAAGATCGTCATCAGCGACTTCCACCTGGCCAAGCTGGAGAGCGGCCTCATCAAGGAGCCCTGCGGGACGCCGGAGTACCTGGGCAAGCAGGCGCGGGCGGGCGGCGGGGGGCGACCGCCTGCCGAGGGACTCCGGGGCGGGAGGGCCCAGGCGGGGTGTGAACGGTGCCGGGCCTGGCAGGCCTGATGCTGACCCGCCGGCTGGAACTGTTTGCAGCCCCGGAGGTGGTAGGCCGGCAGCGGTACGGACGCCCGGTGGACTGCTGGGCCATCGGCGTCATCATGTACATCCTGTGAGTGGGCGGGCGAACAGGGGGGCTCACAGCCAGGGGGCGGGGCCTGTGCCATGGCCTCCGGGGTGACCCCGGCCTCCCGCCCGGCAGGCTTTCGGGGAACCCGCCTTTCTACGAGGAGGTGGAGGAGGACGACTATGAGAACCACGACAAGAATCTCTTCCGCAAGATCCTGGCGGGCGACTACGAGTTCGACTCCCCGTACTGGGACGACATCTCGCAGGCGGGTGAGCCGGCCCCGCACCCGGGCAGCACGGAGGGTTGGCGCGGGGCCTGTCCTCAGCCTTCGCTCTGGACTCTGCCCCAGTCCACCCCTGGCCTCTGGATAGAGCCGAGCTCTCCCCGGCTCTGTCCGCAGCCAAGGACCTGGTCACGAGGCTGATGGAGGTGGAGCAGGACCAGCGCATCACCGCCGAGGAGGCCATCTCCCACGAGTGGTGAGCGGGGCCAGGAGGCCGGGCGAGGCCGGCCTGTCCTCCTCACACCCGCAGCCCATCCCTGAGGCCTGGGGTGGGGGTGGGGGTGGGGGCGGCCAGACCGCAGAAGGCGCCGGTGACCGCTGGAGCTTCCGAGGCCGGGCAGTGGAAGCCGCCCTTGGGACGCTTTTGCACCCTTTCCAGGATTTCCGGCAACGCCGCTTCCGACAAGAACATCAAGGACGGAGTCTGTGCCCAGATCGAGAAGAACTTTGCCAGGGCCAAGTGGAAGGTGAGGCCGGGGGCGCTCCCTCGGACTGATGCCACGTGCTCCTTCTGGAGCCTGCAGCTCCTTGCAGTCTCCCTCACAGGCTCTGCTCCACCACGAGCTGGGGGCCGGGTGCCTCGCCCTGGGGTGATCGGAGCAGCCAGGGGCACCCTGGGGGGATCGGAGGCGGCCAGGGGCAACCTGGGGGGTGGCCTGGGCTTGGCCGGCGCCAGGGAGGGGACTTGGCTGCCGTGAGCCTCCCTGAGCCCCTCTCCCCTCCTCGCAGAAAGCTGTCCGAGTGACCACGCTCATGAAGCGGCTGCGGGCGCCAGAGCAGTCCAGCGCCGCGGCCGCCCCGTCGGCTCCAGCCACAGACACTGCCGTGCCCGGGGCTGCAGGTGGGGCTGCCCCAGCCCTGGGGGGCAGTGCCAGCGCAGCCACAGCAGGTGACGCTGCAAAGAGTGATGGTGCGGTCCCTGCAGACCGCAGTGCCACCCCAGCCACGGACGGGAGCGCCACCCCAGCCACCGACGGGAGCGCCACCCCAGCCACCGACGGGAGCATCACCCCAGCCACCGACGGGAGCGCCACCCCAGCCACGGACGGGAGAGCCACACCAGCCACGGAAGAGAGCACTGTGCCCACCAGCCAGAGCAGTGCCACCCCCGAGCCGGCCTCGGCCCAGCCGGACAGCACAGCCTCCGGGGGCGCGGCGGGCCAGGCCCCGGCCGCCAGCACAGGGGGAGAGGCCGCTGGCTCCGCCGCGGAGTCCCGGAGGGAGGATGCCAGCTGAGTGGCAGGCTCGTGGGGGGCGGGGGCGGGCAGGAGGGTGGGAGCGTGGATGAGAGGCTTCTCACTGTACATAGAGTCGCTGGCATGATGCCCTCGCACCCCTCCCCGGCCCCTGCCTCTCACTGTGGGGCCTGTCTGGGGGCCGCGGGAGAGCAGGCTCGTCTCCCGCGTGTGTCCGTGTGAGTGGTGGGCAAGCCAGAGGCAGGACCGGCCCCAGCCCCTGCATGGATTCCTGTGGCTTTTGTCTTTCGCTCGCTTCCCGTTCTGTTCCCGTGGGACGCTGCTTGGGGATCCTCAGGAGGTCCCTGCGCCTCTCCCTTCCGCCTCACGACCCCCCAGGCAGGCCCTGCAGCCCGTCCCCTCCCAGGCCCTAAACTCGGGGGCCTTGCCCTGAGAGCTGGTCCTCCAGCGAGGCCCTGTCAGCGGTCTTACCCGCGCAGGCACGTGCCTGTGGTCCGGGCGCCTTGCGGAGCGGGCCCAGGCCAGGAGGGGTGCGGAGATCAGAGCAGTGTGCGCCAGGACGAGGCTGGGCGTGTGGCGGGGGGCACTGCTCGGGCGCCGTGGGGGTCCTCAGAGGCGAACAGGAGTGAGGAGGGTAGAAGCTTTCGTCTTTGTCCCTGGGAAGCCCCTCCCGAGACCCTCTCTGCCTCCCGGGCCTGCAGCGGGCTGCCTGTGCCACGGCTGGGAGCCTGAGTGGGGAAGGAGGGAGGAGAAGGAGGCAATGAGAAGCGGGAGGACAGTGCAGGCCCAGCACGAGTGCGCCAGCCCAGCGGGGCCTCACCACAGCCAGGCAGGAAGGGCTGGTGTTCCCTGCCTCTTCCCAGGCGGCAGCCCTCTCTGTCCCAGGGGACCTGCACGTGTGTCCCACACTCTGATTTGGGAGGGTCTGCCCTTGAGCAGATTTTCTCTCTCCCACTTCCACAACGGAAAAGAGGGGAGTCCCCATTATGTCTGACCCACTCCCCCTCCGATGGGGGCTGAGAGAGGCCCGGGTGCCTCTGAGCCCCTTTGCCAGGATGAGGGGGTGGAAGAAGGCTCCCCAGTTTCCTGGAGGCTCCTGGGAGGTGCCCTTTGTCAGACCCCACCGCGGCCTGGGCAGGCAGCTGCCCGGTCCCGGCCCCACTCGGCACTCGGCGGCGGGCCTGCCCTCCCCCCTGCATGCCTGTGGGTCTGCTGTGGTGTGTGAGGATCGGCGGGCTTGCTGTGCCTGTTGAACCTGGCAAATAAACGTCAGCCTGACAAAGCCTCTGGCACCTCTAGCTGCTGCTTCCTGTCTTCCTGGGGAGGGGCCCAGCAGGCAGTGGGGGGCGGAGGCTGAAAGGAGGTGCCCAGCAGCAGCCTATGCTGAGGTCCCCGGCTGGCTTGGCCAAGAGCACAATCATCCTCACCGGGTGCCCCTAATGGTGGCGACGGGTTCCTCTGGGCTGAAACCCACACGGATGGCGGTCCTGTGTTGGACCTTGGGCTGCTGTCATGACAAGTCCTATGTAACGAGGAGTCCCTGGTGTGCCCCAGCTGGTGTGGCCCAGTGCATGAGCATCAGCCTGCGGACCAAAGGGTCCCAGGTTTGATTCCAGTCAAGGGCGTGTATCTTGGTTGCAGGCTCCTCCCCAGCCTGGGTTCTGGTCAGGGGCATGCAGGAGGTCACCAATCTATGTGTTTCTCCCACACTGATGTTTCTCACTGTTTTTCCCTCTCTTTTCCACTCGCCCTAAAAATCAAGGGGAAAATATCCTCAGGTGAGGGGGGAAAAAACAAACAAACACGAGGAGCCCTTGGTTTAACTTAGGCACAGAACTGGAACCCACCAAAACCCAGCCGCCAAGGTGGGCTTCCCTGTTGGGGAGAGGTCCCAGGGCGGGCAGCGCACGAAGGTTCTAGCTGCCCTTCATGTAGGCCCTTCTTCCTGGGAGCAGCACTTGGGCCCAGGGGTTCTCTGAGTCTCCTTCAGGAGCAACAAGCCAGTGGGGCATCAGGAGGCTCAGCAGGAGGTTTCCTGTGTGTGTGGGAGGGGGTGGGGGCGGGGGGTTGAGGGGGTAACGCTGCTAAAAGCAGCTGAGTGGTAACTCCTAGGAAGACTGGTTCCATGCCCTGCACCCGAGGAACTCACCCGGAATGCCGCTGCCCCTGGGGAAGACTCTAAGATCACTGATGTGATGTGGGGATAAGAAACTAGGGTTTGTGAGCCACTGGCTATGGGACACCGGGCCTCCAAAATCCCTACGCTGCGTACAGTTCAGGGGCACAACGGATCCTCCCGGCGCTCAGAGCAGAAGTCAGGGAACCGGCCCTGCCGCCCGCAGCCTTGGGGGTCGTCGTCAGGCGGGGTTAGGACCCGTGTCTATCTTCCTGGGACGACTCCACAGCCGAGGGCTGGGAGGGCGGGGCACCCTCTGGGTCAGTGGGAACTTCCCGCGCGCGGGCCAACTCGGCCGGAGCGCGGCGGCCCGCTCTCCACGGGGACCCCGTCCCACGGCCCTGCGGCCGCGGGCCCGCCTCTCCCGCTGTCCAGAGGGGGCTGCCATGGCAGGCCGGGCCGAGGAGCCCGAGCCCGGCGCACCGGCGCTGAGTGGCCCCGAAAGCAGCCCGGCGGCGGCGTGGCCGCTCCCGGTCCCGCTCCGGTCCCGCTCCGGGTCCCGCTCCGGGTCCCGCTTCCGTCCGCGCTGCGCTCCGCGGTCCCAGCACCTTCCCGGAGCCGCCGCCCCGCTCCCGCGGCCCGCGCTCCGCCCCAGGATTCTATTTGTCCGCGGGGCCTGAAACCCCGCCCCCAGAGGGATCGTCCAATCCGGGATCTGTATTTAGGCTCCGCCTCCACGTTTCGCGTAGCCACTTCCGGCCCTACCCCGGAAGTCGCGCCGTGGAGCCAAATTTGAAGGGAGCTGAGACGCGGTGCCGGGGTGCCCGGCGACCATGCCCATCCGTGCGCTCTGCACCATCTGCTCCGACTTCTTCGACCACTCGCGCGACGTGGCCGCCATCCACTGCGGCCACACCTTCCACCTGCAGTGGTGAGTGGCCGCTGTTGGGGGCTGGACGCTTCCTGCCGTCCTCGTCCCTAACGGGAGGGAGTGTGGGGTGTCGGGCCTGCGGCTGCCAGCCCCCCGCAGCCCGGACGGGGGATGAGGGGGACACTCGCGGCGCCCCACGGGAGGTCCCCGACCTGGGCCGAGATGAGCTCTCCCCACACTGACGAGCCCTTCGGGTTCTTGGCGATGGAAGCCCGGTAGGCCTCTGGCTGGACGGTTTGGGATGTTTGCTCAGAGACCGCTCTCTGGTCAGACCCCCCAGTGTATTCCCGACGCCAGCAAACCTCAAACCCAGGTAACATCCCAGGGCGAAGTGGTGCGGCCTGAGGGAGCGGGCGATGCTGCCCGCCCTGCGGGACCGGTCAGGGAGGACAGCCGGTGGGGAGAGCCCGCGGCTGTGGGCAGGCTGGTGCAGGGCCCGGCTCCTTTATTTATTGGGGTAAAATATACAGAGAATTCACCATCAGAACCACTTCTTGCTCCCCCCGCCCCTGTTTTAATTACTACATACCTTTTTTAAAAAATATATTTTTTATTGACTTTTTACAGAGAGGAAGGGAGATGTAGAGAGCTAGAAACATCCATGAGAGAGAAACATCGACCAGCTGCCTCCTGCACACCCCCCACCGGGGATGTGCCCGCAACCAATGTACATGCCCTTGACCGGAATCGAACCTGGGACCCTTCAGTCCGCAGGCCAACGCTCTACCACTGAGCCAAACCGGTTTCGGCCTTTTTTATTGTAATAAAAGTATATAACATAAAAGTATACCATTTAACCATTTTTGTACTGTTGCAAAATTTATTTAACAACATCAACAAATTCAATATGGGAAAGAACATGACCCAGCTTTAACATAGACCCTCTGGAGAGGGGATGTGTGGAAGCCATGGTCTCCTCTCTTCCCAAGGCTCCTTTTGCCTCCGCTTTAATCTTGTTCTGTCGCCCGCCAGAGGCCGTTGCCTATCCATGCACGATCAGCCGCCAGATTCCTAAAGGGATAGATTCCGGCAGTGTCCCTTGGACATGTCTGCCGCCATCTAATTGCAGGGCCTTTTGTTCATTCTTTTTCTAACCTGGAAGGGGAGCTTTGCGCATGGCATTCACTCAGTGAGCTGAAAGATCCATTCGTTTTAACCACTTTTAAGTGTACGAGTCAGCGGCATGAAGTACTTTAGTAATTCTGTGTAACCATCACCACTGCCTGTTTCTAGAACTTTCCCATCATTCCAGACCAAAAAAACAACAATCCACTACCCATTGAACAATAACTCCATCCCCCCTCCCCAAGGCTCCATTTTACCCCTGTCTCCTGGAGTTGCCTAGTCTAGGCCCTCATAGAAGTAGAATTGTACAATATTTGTTCTTCTGAGTCTGGATTATCTCATTAAGCATCATATTTTCAAGGTTCATCCGTATTATAGCATGTATCAGTATTTCATTTTTATGACTGAACTAAAGACCCAGCACGCAAAATCATGCGCAGGTAGCTCACTGCTGCTCTCCGACCCTGCTCACCGCCGCTAGCCACTGCTCATGAGGGGTGGGGGGGAGAGACACACACGAGAGGTGGTCAATGTCTCATGGTCACTGAGATGCATGAGTGAGCATTCCGGTCGTTACACTTATGGTCCCTGGCCTTTTATTATATAGGGTAGGGTAATACTCAGTTGTATGGAAATACCACATTTTGTTAATCCTTCATCTGTTAATGGACCTTGTTTTGCTTCTGTGTTTTGGCTGCTATGAGCTGTGCTACTGTAAATGTTGATAAACGAAAATGCTTTCTGTGATTTAGATATTTTAAAACTTATTAAGACTTGTTTTGTGGCCCAACATATGGCCAGTCTTGGTGAGTTGCGTGCGCACTTGAGAAAAACGTGTATTCAGCTGTTACCAGGTGGAGTATATGCCCGTTAGACCTGGTTAGTTTATTTTGTTGTTCAAGTTCTCCCTTTCTTCGTTGATTATCTGTCCGATTGGTCTGTCTATGATTGAAAGTGAGGGGCACTGACATCTTCAACTTTTGTTCTAGAACGATTTCTCCCTTCAATTCCGTCCACATTTCTTTCACATACTTTTGGGCTCTGTGTTTAGGTGCACACGTGTTTATAATTGTTATTTCTTCTTGGATTCAACCTGTTACCAATATATCAGTATATGAAGTCCTTTGTCTCTTGTAATCTTTTTTTTTTTTTTTTTTTTTTAACTTAAAGTCTATTTTGTCTGACAGGTAGACACCTCAGCTCTCTTGTTGTTATAATTTTTTACTTATCCTGGTTGGGATTCGTTACATTTCTTCCATTTGTGGAATGATTTCTTTAATTAGCTTTGGGAAATTAAAGCGATTGTCTCTGCATGTATAGCCTCTATGGAGGGAAGAGGAAGGGAGGGAGGGAGGGAGGGAGGGGGGAGAGAAGGAAGGAGGGACATTGATGTCAGAGAGAAATATTGATGAGTTGCCTCCCATGCACACCCTGCCTGGGAATTGAACCCGCGGCCTATGCTGCACCATCTGAGCCACCTGGCCAGGGCGGTTCTCCCCTGTGCTGTGGCGGAGCAGGCTGCCCGGCCTGGGTGTCTGCGGGCACGCCGTGGCTCACCAGCCTGAGTTTCTGCTTCTCATTCCAGCCTGATCCAGTGGTTCGATACAGCACCAAGTCGGACCTGCCCGCAGTGCCGAATCCAGGTGAGCGGGGAGGGGGATCCCCCCACTACGGCCTCTTCTCGCCAGGAAGCAGGAACGAGGGGCGGTCTCTGAGGCTGGTATCGCTGGCCCTTTGGAGCCTTGTGGCTTGTGGCTCTGAGGCCTGCTCATGCCCACGGGTGGCTGGCAGGCACACTCACTGCCTGGATCACCTCACCTGGATAGATTCGGGCCCTCCTCTGCCTCTCCCATTTTCCCAATGCCCAGCACCTACAGTTGGGGTGTCATTTGAGTGGTTACAATGTGGGTCCCAGAGGCATGACCTCAGGAGCCACCAGGCTCGGGGCACCAGCTGGGGCACTGCAGGTTGCAGAGGTCTTCTGCCTCCACGGGATGCGGGGTGAAATGTGGGGCCCGAGAGCAGGCCTGGCCCGGGGCCCGGCTGTGCAGTCACGTTCTTCCTTGTCTTCCCGTGCAGGTTGGCCGGAGGTCCATCATCAACAAGCTCTTCTTTGACCTTGCCCAGGAGGAGGAGGGTGTCTTAGATGCAGAATTCTTAAAGGTGCCCGGAATCTCTCTCATCCTGCTGAGCCCCATGTTCTCTGCCCGTTCTTTCTGCTCCCCCCTCTCAGCGCGAGTGTGTGTGGGAGCTCTGGAGGGGGGAGAGGACAGGCGGAGCTGAGGTGCAGGAGAAGCGCACTGTAGAGCCCTCCCTCTGGGGTTTCAGAGCATTTCCGCCCCAGGGTCAGAGTGCCCCTCCCAAGGTCGCCTCGCCTTAGTAGGGGTGTCGAACTCAATCAGAGAAGGGGCCAAAATCCAAAATCCAGCCTAAATCGCGGGCCGAATGGTTTACTGAACAGTCATAAACTGTCATTGTGATGGAAACGCAGCGGAGTGCAGTGATGACAGCGCGGTGCAGGCCACATTGCAAGGCCTGGCGGGACGGATTTGGCCCGCGGGCCTTGTGTTTGACACATGTGCCTTAAAGGATCCACAGCCACCCTCCCAGCCCACAGCCAGGGAGGTGTGTGGGCCCTTTGATCGTGAACCTGGCTGTGTCTCACACCTGAGGGAGCTCGTGTCTTCCCCGGGCGGGAACAGAGGCAGCGCCTGGAATCCAGATTTGCACCCACACTGCGGGAGCGGATGGGTGGGTGGGTGCCCTCCCGCACGCCCACCGCTTTGCCCGGGCCTGAGGTTCAGCTTCCTGCACGAGAAGCCTCGTGAGGAGGTGGGATTAGCGTTGGCGATGAGCTTGGACTCCGGGGGTTAATTTTCTGGGCATCTGTCAGATCGAGGCTCATTTGGCCTTGGCTCCAGGGTACCATGATGTCCTTGGAACTCACTGATTCAAGAACGGGGAGCTTTTGTGCTGAAAGCCAGCATGTTCATCGTCATGGTAACTGCTCCCAGCCTTCAGCTGTGCTCTCCCCGTGATGCAGGAACAAAGGCAGCCTCGTGTCTTTCCGGCGTTCAGAGCCAGACCTGGGAGACAGCGAGGCAGCCTTGCGCGGCTGCGAACAGGGCTCGGAGGCGTCCTGCGTGGGTGCGGCGGGCCAGGGCCTAGAGGTGGCTGTTCCTCTCAGCCCCCGGCCCCTCCTCCCCGCCCACCACTCCCCACTCCAGGCGCTCAGCCCACATGGCCAGCCCGGCCGGCCCACCTGTGGCTTATCGGCCTCTGGGGCCGGGCCTTAGAATTGGAGACGGGTGAGGTTCTGAGTCTTGTGTTGATCTGGAGGAGGATTTGCCTGGATTCCACCCAGCTGCCTCCATGGAGCCTTGGCCACACCTTTCGGTTTTCCGGCTGATGGAGGAGGCACCTCTGGCCACCGGTGCTGAGTGCTCTGGCTCCCGAAGGGGAGCTGGGGCAGCGCTGCCCGCCTCTCAGCGGCCCTGCAGGGGCTCTGGAATGTATGCACAGGCTCCGAGGCTCAGACAGTCTCCCTGGAGCCCCGCACGCGTGGGGTTTCCCCCAGGGGCTCACAGCTGTCCTGGCCCACCAGCCATGTTAGTCCTGGGGCTGGCGATTGTGGGAGGGAGGTGGACTGTGAAGCAGGCAGGACCCAGGGCAGAGGGAGGAGAGGTAGCCCAGGTCCTTGGCCATGCCCACTGTGTGTCCCGCTGAGCGCAGCTGACGCCCAGCGCGGTCAGGGCCAGCGCGGGCCCAGGACGCGGTGGAGCCTCCGCTGCAGGGCTGCCCCCCAGGCCTGCCTCCCTCCCTCCCTTCCCTCTCCCCCTGTGCGGGGTCTGGTACCTGATAGCACTTCCCCTTTGGCTGCTGCTCAGGAAGGCGAGAGCCAGAGCAAGGCTTCCTGCCGTGGTTGCTGGGCCTGGGCCTCTCTAGGCCAGTTGTCGGCAAATCGCGGCTTGTGAGCCCCAGTTTGCCTCTCTGTTGACTAATGAGTTTGCCGACCACTGGACTAGACGAAATGCTACCGTGTAGTTGGAAGCTGTGAGGATTAGGCAGTTGTGGCATATTATGTGCAAAGAGGCAAAGGGTAGCATATGATAGTGGTCGGCAAACTCTTTAGTCAACAGAGCAGCAAACTGTGGCTTGCGAGCCACGGTTTGCCGACAACTGCTCTAGGCCGACAGGCTCCACGACCCCCCCTCCCCGCCCCCACCCCCCACCCGGGGCTCCCAGGCCGATGGAGGCGGCTGCTGCTCACGGTGCCCGTTGCCTTGCAGAATGAGCTGGATAACGTCAGAGCCCAGCTTTCCCAGAAAGGTGAGTCAGCCGGCGGCACGGCCGTGGGGAGCCCTGGCCCGGGTGCTGGTGGGAGAGGCCAGGGCTCTCCCCGCTGGGTGTCTGAGTCTGGCCAGCTCTGTGGCTGGAGGAAAGGGGAGGAGAGGAAGGGGCCTGACTGCCCCGGGACCTGGTGCTCAGCTGGGAGGCCCCTGAGGGACAGAGTGGCTGAGGGAGAGGCTCCGGCCAGAGCTTGGCAGGAACCTGGTGCATCTGGGACGATGAGCTGACTGGACATGGCATGGGGGCCATGAAGCGGCTTCCCCACCGCGGCCCCTGCCTCTGGCCTGGGACTGTTCCCCCCCTGCCTCGGGGTGGGGTGCTGGCGCCCAGAAGCCCAGGCTCTCAGCTGACAGGCCCCTCTCTCTCCTCCCTGCCCCAGAGCGGGAGAAGCGGGACAGCCAGGGCATCATCGACACCCTGCGGGACGCGCTGGAGGAGCGCAACACCGCCGTGGCGTCTCTGCAGCGGGCCCTGGACGAGGCCGACATGCTGTGTGCCACCCTCAAGGTGGGCCGGGCCAGGGTGCGGGGCCGGGGCGCTGGGGAGGGAGGGGGTGGAGCCCCGGCCGGGCTCGCCGCTCCAGGCTTCGCTCCGCCTTGGTCAGCAGCGCGGTGTGAGGTGTAGGATGGAGGCGAGCCCCTCTCCCCCTCTCCCCCTCTCCGTGCTGCACCCGGCCCGCAGAGGGCCGCACAGGCCTCCCTCTGAGGTTGTCCTCAGGTGTGAGGAGCTGAGGCCTTCCCGCACTTCGGGGGCTGCTTAGCCAGGACCCGGGAGGCGGGGCGTGTTCCCGGAGCGGGTGTACCCCGCCCGGAACGCCTGTGCGCACTCAGCCCTCGGCGCGGCTCCCGTGAGGCCGCCCCGGCCCCGTGAATTCTGTATCAGCCGGTTGAGCTCTTCTCTCCCGGGGCTGGAGGCGATTGATGGGAGCCCTCCGTGGACATGCTGGCCTCGCAGGAGAACAGTCCTTGCCGGGAGCCACTGGAGGGGGAGGAGGCGTCCCTGTGAACAGACGGAGTCACTGTCTGCTCCTGCGGCGGCTGGTCTGGGTCACGTGGCCTGGCCAGGGAGGGGAGGCTGCAGAGCAGGGTCCCCAGAGGTGGAGGGTCTCGGCTGAGGGCAGCTGGCCGGTGGCCCCTGGCTCAGAGCTGCTATTCTGGCCGCCGTCCTTCGGCCTAGATGGGGGACAGTGAGGCCCGGACTGTACAGTATGCACCATAACGCCCAGCACAGGCGTCAGGCAGCCCACGAGGGCCTGTGGGTGCTGCCGGGCTGCACCTCTGGGAGACACAGCTCCCGGGAGCGCGGGGAGGTGAGGAGCTGCGGGCGAGGGCCTCTCCGCAGAAAAGCACAAGCTCCAGTGCGCCCAGCAGCCTTCCCTCCGGCCAGGGGCGGAGGGGCACACGGTTCTCAGCCTTTTCAAAAGCCGGCAGGGCCGGGTGGCGCTTCCCCAGTGCCTATAGCCGTGGCCCCGGGTGCTCCAGGCGACAGGAATGTTGGTGTGTTTGCTCCTCAGAAGCAGATGAAGTTCTTGGAGCAGCAGCAGGACGAGACCAAGCAAGCCCGGGAGGAGGCCCGCCGGCTGCGGAGCAAGATGCAGACCATGGAGCGGTGCGCTGCCCTGCCCAGCCCCGGGGCACCGCTCCCAGGCCGGCGGGCCGGGCACCGCTGTGGCTCTAGCGGAGGCCGGGGGGCGGGGCTGGGGGAAGGGGGCAGCTGGGTGGGGCGCAGGTGTCTGCTCAGCCTCGGCTGCTCCACTTCCCTGGGGGCCCTTCCACGTTCTTCCCTGTCCTGTTGCCCGTGGCCACGTGGCTGGCAGCCTTACGCTTGTGCTCTAAGCCTCTCTCGGGGATCCCTGGCCTGGAGCGCCGCTGGCAGCACCCCTTCCTCCCCAGCAGCATCCCTGGGGCTGTGCTCCTAGCGCCGGGTTGTCACCATAGCAACAGCAGCGAAGGGAGGCAGAGCTGTCTCCGAATGCTCAGCGCCGTGGGCCGCTGTTTTTCAGGATTGAGCTCCTACTCAAGAGCCAGCGGCCTGAGGTGGAGGAGATGATCCGGGACATGGGCGCAGGCCAGGCAGCGGTGGAGCAGCTGGCCGTGTACTGCGTGTCGCTCAAGAAGTGTGTGCTCCGTCCTCCTCCCAGCCCGGGCGCTGCCCCCTGCTGCCCCCCTTACCGGCAGAGCAGGGAGTTAGGGCCCAGCTCAGGGTGCCTGCCGCCTCCGTCCGCTCTGAGCCCACCTCAGCCTCTGACCCTCCGCTCACTGATGGAGATAGGGATGCCGGCCTGGGCTGTGGAGGGAAGGGAGTGGTTAGAGGCCTTATTCCAAGGAGGCTGGCCCGCCTCCGAGGGGAGCCCTGCGCAGTCTCCGCCGCCTGGGCCCCAGCAGCACTGTGCCGCCCCGCCTGGCTCACCCTTGCTGCGGGAGAGGCAGGGCAGGGCCGCGTGGCTGACCGCACAGAGCACCCAGAGGCCTCCTGAGTGAGGGCCGGAGGGAGCGGGCAGCCGCTGTCCTGGCATTGGCGGGGAGGACCCTCCCAGCGCCGCCCCAAGCTCGGTGTCAGAGTGGACGTGCAGGCTGGGCTGGGCTCGGTGTTTGCTCGGTGCTCAGTCTGACCAGCAGGTGCCCTTTCCGACGTCCCTCTCCTGGCCCCTTGCAGGGAGTATGAAAATCTGAAGGAGGCTCGGAAGGCCTCCGGGGAGCTGGCTGACAAGCTCAAGAAGGACCTGTTTTCCTCCAAAAGCAAGGTACCTGCGGGAGCAGGGGGGCGGGAGAGCTTCTTGTGGGACGGGGGGGCGGGAGAGGGGCCGTCTTACTTCCACGCTCAGGCCCGGCCCCTGAGCAAGGCCTGGGGCCTGCGGGGCCGCTGACCAGGGCTGTGGCCTGACTCGGAGACCAGTCCTCACGGGGTGGGCTCAGGCTGTGTGCCTTGTCCAGTTAGGGTGGCAGGGCACACGGGTGCTCTACTGGCGTGCAGCCTTATGCCCCCTGCTGCCCTGGCTGCTGCCCTCAGCTGGCGGGAGAGCAGGTCCCAAATGTGCCGCCCTCAGAGGTCCACGCCAGGCCCAGAGCACATGCGCTGGGAACCCAGGGGGCTCAGCACGGCCACTTCACTCTCAGGCCTGGCGCACCCCCGGCCGCGGGTGCAGGGCAGCCTGAGGGCCTCGCTGGATCAGGGCCCAGCACTAGAGTCTCCCGGGGCCCCACACCCGGACCCCAGTCTGCCCTGAGCAGCCTGGGCCGCCGCGGGCAGGGCAGGGCATGTGGCCGCCCTTGGCTCACCCCCCTCCGCTTGCCGGCAGTTGCAGGTGGTCTACGCTGAGCTGGACCAGGCCAAGCTGGAACTGAGGTCGGCCCAGAAGGATCTGCAGGGCGCCGACAAGGAGATCGCGGTGAGGGGCGCCCTGGCGGAGCGGGTGGGGGGGAGGGGGGAGAAAGAGGGTAAGGGGGTCTGTGTGCCCTCGGAGCGGCCGGGGCCGGCTCTGCCTGGGGCCTGCGCAGTCGGTGGAGCTGGGTGTGGGCTCCCTCGCCTCCTGCACCGGGTGGGTCAGGGTGGATGCCTGGAGCCCGGTCTGGAGCCTGGCGGACGGCGCCGGGTCTTCCCCCACCGTCTCTTCACCTGCAGCCCAAGTTCGCCAGAGACGGGGCTTTGCCAGTGTGGCGGGGGGCGGGGGGGAGGCGGTTCTGGTCTCAGGCCCTGCCCGCTCCCGGGCCTGCCGTCTGCTGTCGCTCTGTCCTTGGCGTCTGTCTGGGCTTGACGCCCCAGCCTTTCATTCACACGTTCTCCTCCTTCCCAAGAGCCTGAGGAAGAAGCTGAAGATGCTGCAGGAGACCCTGAGCCTGCCGCCGGGGGACAGCGAGGCCGTGAACCGGCTGGTGCTGGAGAGGTGTGTGTCCTCGGGGTGCGGGCCGTGCTGGGAGAGCTCCCGGTCAGGGCCGGCCTGGCTCTGGCGGGCGGCTCTGCGGTGGGTGCGAGGCTGTGCTGCTGCCTGGGAGGCAGCCACGGTCTCGCTGCAAAGCAGCTGAGGCAGGTTCTGGGCTCAGACAAGCAGAAGTCTGGGCAGCCCAGACGGGACCTCGGATGGCAAGCAGGGCAGGCACTGGGGTTTCCCGCAGCCTGTTTGTGGGATGGCTCACCAAACGCTCTGTCAGCCCCGCCCCCTCCCGAGTCTGGAGCAAACGGGAACAGTCACTAAAAGGATCCCTCTGGGCCCCGGAGCGTGTGCATGGACGCTGCCAGCAGAGGGAGCCAAAGGCTAAGGATGCGTGTCCCTGTTCCTCCTGCGTGTCCCTGTTCCTCCTGCGTGTCCCTGTTCCTCCTGCGTGTCCCTGTTCCTCCTGTGTGTCCCTGTTCCTCCTGCGTGTCCCTGTTCCTCCTGTGTGTCCCTGCTCCTCCTGCGTGCCACAAAGCCGCGGGGCGGGCACCCTGGGCTGTCTCCCCACAAGCTAGCGGCCCGTCTTTCCCTGAGCCACGCTGCGTGTCCTGGGGAGATCCTCATGCTCCCTCTCCCCATGTCCAGCGGGTGCTGGAGCCGCCTGCCCCTTCCCAGCCACCCCTCCCTCTTCCTGTCAGCCCAGCGGCAGCCCCTGGGCACCGAGCCTCTCCTTCCTCACCGAACAGGCCGGGCCTCGGCAGGGGCGCCTTCAGGCTGCAGCCACCTCGTACCGCTGAGGACCGTTCCTCGCCCTCCTGCCTCTGCGTGGCTCTTCTCCCCTTGGCTCGGCGGCCCTGCAGGCACACACACACACGGTCTCCCAGCAGCGACAAGCTCTCCCTCCTCCGCTGTCCCTGGCCGTGCACGGCCAGAATGTGGGGCCCTGGGTACGCCGGCGGCTGCCCGTCCAGCTGTTGCAGTAGGGCTGTCCTTCACTCCTGTCATGTCAGGGCGGCCGCGGAGGGGTGACTGGGAGACCTCTCGGGGCCTCCAGGCTGAAGAGTTGGGAGGCCTTCACTTAGGGAAGGCCCACGGGCACCCTGAGCTCACGGGGAGACACTGACCGTCTCCCCGCACAGGCGCGGGCTGCTCCGGGCCTTGGCTCCGTTCTGGAAGTTGGGCTTTGCTCCACCTCCTGAAGCCCCCGGCCGAGGCCCCTCTGCACACAGGCCTGGCTACATGTCCCCAGGCGATGCGTCTCCGGGCGGCCCAGCAGTGCCCCCGCCAGCACGGGAGTGGGAAGGAAGGAGAGGCCTCGGCATAGAGGGCAGTTCGAGCTTCTAAGAGGGGTTTGCTGGGGACGGTGTGAGGGCGTGAGACTGTCCCCCTGGGCCAGGGCAGTGTGGGGAGTGAGCGGGCACCGGGCACCTCTGCAGCTGGGTTCCCTCTGTGGGCCAGGAGGTGCACGGGAAGAAGACTGTCCTAACTGAGCCAAAGCTGGGCACGCATCCTGGCACCGCGGGCAGGGTCTGGGCACAGCAGCAGGAAGCCCTGCCAGGAGACGGTGGAGAGAAAAGGCCGCCCAGCCGGACCCGCCTGCCTCTGCCTCGTGGTGCCCCAGTGGGGAGAGCGCAGGCCAGCAGCCTGTGACCGGGGGCACGGGTGGCTCTGGCTGTGCCTGGCACAGCGGTTCCCAGAGGGGAGTTGGCGTAGGTGGGTTCGCCCGGCCTCGGTTGCACTGGCAGGCAAGGAAGGGGAGCTCTCTGGGTCGCTTCCCGCGAGGGGTGCTGGGCCGGTGGGATTAGTTTTAATGTTGGTGGAACCGCCTTCTCCCGCAGCGGTGGTGCCATTTGCCCTCCCCCAGCAGAGCACTGCGTCCGTCTCCACTTCCCACCGCACCTGCTCCTTTGGTTCTGGTTGGTTTGGTGGTTTGGGTGGACAGGAGCGTCCTAACAGTGCGCGGTGGCATCTTGTGGTGGCTCTGATTTGTCTTCCCTGATGAGGAGTGGTGGTGAGCATCTTTTCGTGGGCTTATGGGCCGTTTGTCCATCTCAGGAGAAACATCTGTCAGACCTTCGCCCCTTTTGAATCACGTTTGTTTTCTCTCAGTCAGGTTGAGTCCTAGCTCTCTATAGGTTTTAATCCCTCACCAGAGATACGATCTGCAAATATTTTCTCTCATTCCCTGCATCGCCCTTTGACTACGATAATACATTTTGATGCACAAATTTTTAAATTTGTGTGAAGTCTGGTTTGTCTGGTTTTGTGCTGCTTTTTTTTTTTTTTTTTTTTAATATATTATTGACTTTCACAGAGAGGAAGAGAGAGGGATAGAGAGTTAGAAACATCGATGAGAGAGAATCATCGATCAGCTGCCTCCTGCACACCTACTGGGGATGTGCCCACAACCAACGTACATGCCCTTGATCTGAATCGAACCCGGGACCTTTCAGTCTGCAGACCGACGCTCTATCCACTGAGCCACACCGGTTTCGGCTTGTGCTGCTTTTTAAATGGAACACATGCGCATAGCCCGTGTTAGTAACTTACTGTCTGGAAGCCCTCCTTCAGTGTCTGTCATGTTCAAGCTCGGAGCAAGCCAGCTCCGAGGGAGCCATCCTCTCGGTCTCTGAGGTGCCGTCCTCCTCGGCAGTGCAGAGGGCGGTCTGGCCGTGCCTCTGCTCCTGCGCTGCGCTCTGAGAACCGAGGCGCGTGGTCACACGGCAGCTCCCTGTGCGTGTGGGCTGCGTGGCTTTCGCGTGCTTCCTCCTACCGCCAGCCTGTGGCTGGCCGTGCCTGGAGGGCTGAGCCCAGTGGTTTTCCTGTGGTGACGAGGCTGCCCTGCAGGGGGCGCTGAGCGGGGCGGCTGCAGCCCCTGGAGCGGAACCGTCTCCCGAGCCCTCGGGGCCGCTGTCCTGGGCGCCTCGGTGAGCTGGTCCCTCTGTCTGTGCCGTAGCCCGGCCCCCGTGGAGATGCTGAGCCTGAAGCTTCGCCGGCCAGCCTTCAGCGACGACATCGACCTCAACGCCACCTTTGACGTGGACACCCCGCCGGCCCGGCCCCCTGGCCTTCAGCGCGGCCCCGCCAAGAAGCTCTGCCTGGAGAAGGCACGGTGAGTGCCCACACCGGGAGAGGGGCGGAGGGAGGTCCCTGCGGGCCGCCTGGTAGCTCCGAGCGGCTGCGGGCTGGGCTGGCCTTGGTGCCAGCCCTCCCTCCTCCCTGCACACTGACCGCACAGTCTTCGTCTTGCCTGTCCAGGTCATCATCGCCCTTTAAGCAAGGAGACGGGGGGGGGGGGGGCGGGGGGAGGATCCAGAGGTCCCGTGGGGAGGATGGGCTGATGGTGGGGGCACTCCCACTGTGTGGAAGGCCACCCCCGGGTCCTCTTCCTCCGGGCCCCTGAGGCAGGGCCATCTCACCCCATGGAGCCCTGAGGCAGGGCCATCTCACCCCATGGAGCCCTGAGGCAGGGCCATCTCACCCCATGGAGCCCTGAGGCAGGGCCATCTCACCCATAGCCCTGAGGCAGGGCCATCTCACCCCATGGAGCCCTGAGGCAGGGCCATCTCACCCCATAGAGCCCTGAGGCAGGGCCATCTCACCCCATGGAGCCCTGAGGCAGGGCCATCTCACCCCATGGAGCCCTGAGGCAGGGCCATCTCACCCCATGGAGCCCTGAGGCAGGGCCATCTCACCCCATGGAGCCCTGAGGCAGGGCCATCTCACCCCATGGAGCCCTGAGGCAGGGCCATCTCACCCCATGGAGCCCTGAGGCAGGGCCATCTCACCCCATGGAGCCCTGAGGCAGGGCCATCTCACCCCATGGAGCCCTGAGGCAGGGCCATCTCACCCCATGGAGCCCTGAGGCAGGGCCATCTCACCCCATGGAGCCCTGAGGCAGGGCCATCTCACCCCATGGAGCCCTGAGGCAGGGCCATCTCACCCCATGGAGCCCGGCCCAGCCCTCCTGGGGCAGCCGTAGCGGCAGTGTGGGGGGACCTGCACCAGGGAAGCAGTGGCCCTGGCAGCGGAGGCTGTCCCTGGCCCGCCAGCCACATGCAGTTTACCACGGAGACAACCACTGTTCCCGTCAGGCGTGGACGGCCTGCTGTCCAGGCAGGGAGGCCAAGGGCTGCTTTTGATTGTTCTCCACCACAGGCCGCCGTCCTCCCCTCGCCTGGGGGAGACCCGGCCGGGCGTGCAGCTGCCTGCCCAGGAACTGGATGGAAGCATTGTGCCTGCTCTGGGGCTGGGACGGGAGGCCTGGCCTGTGCAGGGAGGTGTCCGCCCTGCCCTGTGGGCGTCTGCTCATCGAGGGCCTCGTGGCGGCAATGGCCCCGGCCTGGCTCCTTGATGGGCCTCCCGTGGGTGTGCCTCGGCTGGGCGCTCCTGCCCACCCAGAGCCCGGGACATGGAGAGATGCCTGGGGGCTTGGGGAGCATTGGGGTAGCTTATCCCTGAGTGGGAGCCACCAGATTGGCAGTGGCCCAACCTTCCCTGCCTCCGCCACTGGCCGCCGTGACTGTCTAGCTTAGGGGTGTCGAACTCAATCAGAGAAGGGGCCAAAATCTAAAATCCAGCCTAAATCGAGGGCCGAATGGTTTACTGAACAGTCATAAACTGTCATTGTGATGGAAACGCAGCGGAGTGCAGTGATGACAGCGCGGTGCGGGCCACATTGCAAGGCCTGGCGGGACGGATTTGGCCCGCGGGCCTTGTGTTTGACACATGTGGTCTAGCTGGTCACAGTCTGCCGTGGCATAGGGATCACCGAGGTGCCTTGCCCGGCACCCACACGCCACTCCGCACCACACGGTGGCTCTGCAGGAGGCGTGTTGAGCCGACCACCGTCTGTGTCCACTCACCTGCCTCTCGCCTTCGTGTCTCACAGCGCTCCCACTCAGGACGGGCCCGGGAAGCTGCCCAAAGGCTCCACGCAGGTAAGGCTCCGGACGCTGTCCCCACACGGCCGAGTCCCTCAGTCCGGCCGGGCTGCGCGTGAAGCCGGGCTCCGGGAGGGCAGGTCTTGCCAGATCTGTGTCAGTCCTCACCCAGGCCTGGGGCCCTGCGGGGCCCCCAGAAACCTGCCCATTGTCCTTTCTGCTCCCCGGAGGGGCTGGGGGTCCTAGTCCTCCACCCGCCCACCGGCCCGCGCTACCACCAGCTCAGGCCTGGCCGGCCTCCGCAGGAGCCGCAGCTCTCGCTGGGCGGCCAGCGCTGTGCGGGCGAGCCGGACGAGGAGCTGGCTGGTGCCTTCCCGCTCTTCATCCGGAACGCCGTCCTGGGCCCCAGGCAGCCCAAGAGGGCCCAGCCGGAGCCCCGCCGCAGCACAGACACAGTGAGTGCCTCCCCGGGGCAGGCCGGCCCGCGGGCCGCGGCCTCCGCTCAGCTCTCCCTTTCCTGCAGGTCAGAACCGGCTTCGACGGCCTCGGGGGCCGGACCAAGTTCATCCAGCCTGTATCCTTGTTCCATGCTGAGCCGAGCTCAGAGCCCACACCCCCCATCACGGGCCCCGCAATCCCAGCTGCCGGGGGCTGCTGCCTGGTGTGTAACGGGGGCCCACCCCAGGTCTCACCTCTCCTGCCTGTATTCTAGTCCTTCCTTCAGCCTTTGCCTTGACGTCTCCTTCAGACCGACACGACTCTGATCCGGCCCCTGCCGGTGAAGCCCAAGGCCAAGGCCAAGGCCAAGCAGAAGGTGGGGGCCAGGACGGCGCTCCCTCCCTCCCAGGCCCTCCTGTGGTGGGCCAACAACGCCAACTGCAGCTGAGGACTGGCTCCGCAGGGGGTTGGGGACGTGGTCCTCTCCCAGACCACGACAAGAAGCTGGGGCCGGGGTGAAGCCAGAGGATGTGCCTTCCCAGCTCACAGCCGGCCCCTCCCCCATTCTGGGCCTCGGGGCCGGGGCAGCTGTGGTCAGCTCACCGCTCCTGCCAGGGGCTTGCTCCGTGTTGCGGGCCCCCAGGTATGGCCATGACCAGCTGCTGGGCTGCTGCTGAGCCTCCAGACCAGGCCGTGGCTGACCGTATGGACCAAGTGCCGGAGGCCGCGCAGGCTGCTTCGCCGGCCACGCTGCTGCCCGCCTGGCTCCTGCGGGCATGGCCGGCCCAGCAGCGTGTGGGGAGCGACAGGTGGGGGGCAGAGGACGGGCAGGATTTCTGTGTGGAGAATAAAAAAGTATTTTCTTCCTGTGTCTGGGCTTTTGTACTTTGGGAAACTTTTTTTAAAAATATGAGGAAAGGAGAGGGAGAGAAACATCAATGATGAGAGAGAAGCATTGATTGACTGCCTCCTGCACGCCCCCTACTGGAGATCGAGCCTGCAACCAGGGCCTGTGCCCTGACTGGGATCGAACCCGGGACCACAACCATCTCACACCAGCCAGGCAAACTGACATCTCGACAGCATTGTGTCTACCTACCCATGTACCTGGGGTAGACCTCCATTTATGTAGAACTTTTAAAATTTCATCAGTTTTAATGTTTTTCTCACATAGATCTTGTACATATTTTGTTAGATTTATACTGAAATATTTCTTTCCCCTCCTTTTTCTTGTGTCGAATAAAGGACTGTTTTTATTTTTTATTTTATTTTTTTAGAAATAAATAAGAACTTTATTTTAAAAAAATCAGCAACAATTAGAGGGGAACCATCTTTAACTTGATCTTTTCTTCTATATTTGAAAAGTATCTCATCTTTGTTAAAATTTCCTTGGCTTTTTCAAAATCATCTTGTTCAAAAGCTCTGCTCAAATTGTCAGTCAGTTCTTTCTGTTTAGCTCTGACAACAGATTCAAACTCGTTAATGGCAGCTTCACTTTCAGCTTCTGCGAGTTTTTCATTGATATCCATTATTTCCATGAGGAATTGATTGTCCATTTTATAATCTGTTCCTTCGGGAATCTCTATTCCATGGAGCTTTAGAAGGTACAGTCCCTGCTCAGCGGGGCCAGAAGGGTCTTGTAGGCGTCATTCACCAGGGTCGAAAGTCTGGGTGGACAAGACGCTGTAGTTGCTGGAACCGATGCTGGAGCTTTGCGGTATCCACATTGAAGGAACGTTTGCAGTCCATGAGGCTGAAGTGGTCTCTGGTGGGGTCAGTGGCTGCAGCGCCCGGCACTGGGGGCAGAAGAACCTGTCCTCCCGGATGGGGCCCCCGGGCCGCGGCAGTTCCAACACTGGGGGGAGCTGCTTCCTGCGAGCGACGGAGCATTGCAGCTCAGCGGTCCCCTTCCCTAAAGGACTGTTTTTAATCAGTCGCTCACTGCCGATACATGGGGAAGCAGTGGACTGCTGTGGCTGGCGATGGTGCACCGTTTGTTGTTGTGCTTCTCCAAGTTCCTGTGAGGTCTCCTCTCCCGTAACTCACGTGCTCGGCCATGTCTCATGGCGGCCGGGACGTTGAGTGGTCTGCTATGGTAACTGGAAATGGAATTCTCCCTCCCCCCAGGACTGCTAGGCTTTGCTTCTTGAGGGCCGAAGCTGTGCACTTGTGACTTTTTCAAACTGTTTTTGCAAAACATATGTTCCTTGTGGTGGTCACTGGGGTTTGTGCCCCACTCTCTCCGCTGTCAGCCAACGACCTGCCAAAACTGGCCACAGAGGCAGGCGCGGGGCCTGCACTGTCTCTTCCCATCAGGGGCTGTGGTGCCCGGGCTGTGCCCAGGCTGGGGGCTGGGGGCAAAGCTGCAGTGATCGTTCCTGCTCGCGTCCCTGTGCCCTGTGAGGGGCACGCCTCAGGGTCTGAGTCTGGGTAAGCGTCCTGCTTTAGAAAGTCATGCCAAACAGTTTTCCAGCCCAGCCGGTGTGCTCAGTGGTTGAGCATTGACCTATGAATCCGGAAGTCCTGGTTCAATTTCCGGTCAAGGCACATGCCCAGGTTGTGGGCTTAATCTCTGGTCGGGGCACATATAAGAACCAATCAATGAATACATAAATAGGTGGAACAACAAATCCATGTTTCTGTCTCTCTCAATAACTTTATTTTTTTTAATGTTCATTGAATAAAAACATGCACACATACACAAAATCACCTACCACTTTATATTCACTAGGATGGGTGTACTTTTTAAAAAATATATTTTTATTGATTTCAGAGAGAGGAAGGGAGAGGGAGAGAGATTAAAATATCAGTGATGAGAATCATTGATCAGCTGCCTCCTGCACGCCCGCCTCCAGGGATTGAGTCCGAAACTCGGGCCTGTGCCCTTGGCCTGAATCAAACCCGGGACCCTTCAGTCCACAGAGCAGATGCTCTATCCACTGAGCCAAACTGCTAGGGCAGGATGGGTATAATTAGAGAGAGAGAGAGAGAGAGAGAGAGAGAGAGAGAGAGAGAGAGAGAGAGAGAGAGAGAGAAACCGATATTGGCCACAATGTTGATAATAGGATTTTTGTACACTGCTGGTAGAAAATATTTTGTTGGTCCCTCAAAAAACTAAACACAGAATTACCATATGACCCAGCAATTTTATTCCTAAGTATGTACCCCAAAGAATTGAAAACAAGGCCTTAATTACATGTTCAAGCATGAATACAGCAGCATTCACTATTCATAACACCCAAAAGGTGGAGCCACTCCAAAGGCCATCAGCAGGTGACTGGATAAGCAAGTGTGACATACGCATACAGTGGAACATCACTCAGCCACCGAAAGTGAAATACTGATGCACGCTACAATGTGAATGGACCTCAAAAACATGCTAAGGGGGGGAAAGTGCACATTTTCTATGGTTCCTTTTTTAAAAATATATTTTTATTGATTCATAGAGGAAGGGAGGGGGAGAAAAAGACAGAAACATACATGGTGAGAGAGAATCATCGATTGGCTGCCTCCCCCGAGCCCCACACTGTGTGCCCTTGGCCAGCTTGGAACCTAGAACCCTTCAGTCTGCAGGCTGGTGCTCCATCCACGGAGCCAAATCGGCTAGGGCTATGATTCCTTTTTCTAATCGTCACCCAGGATTTGTTTTTATTGGTCTTAGAGAAAGGAGGGGGGAGAGAGAAGCTTCCATCCATCACCTCTGTACACGCCTTGACCAGATCCGAACTTGCAACTTAGGAACGGGTCCTGACTGGGAATCGGACCCGTACGTTTTGGGCCGCAGGACGACGTGTCAGCCAGCCGAGCCGCCTGACCGGCTGTGTGGTCCCTTCTTGGACATCCTCACCCAGGGACACTTTCCCATTGGTTTTCAGAGAGAGTGGAAGGGAGGCAGTGAGATGGAGGAAAAAAAACATCCATGTCAGAGGGATGGAGCCTGCAACCCAGGCTCTGGACCAAAATCGAACCTGGGACCCTCCGGTCTGTGGGCCGACGCTCTATCCACTGAGCTAAACCAGCTAGGGCTGTCTGATTCCTTTTATATGAAATACGCAGAATAGGCATATCTCCAGAGACAGGAAGAATGTGCGTTGTGAGGGGCTGGATGGGCAGTGAGGGTGGGGTGAGCTCCAAGGGGGTGTAAAAAACGGACAGCCTGGTGCTGGCACAGCACAGAATACACTAACCTACTGGCCTGACCACTCTGGGTGGTGCTTTTCACGTTACGGGAATTTCACCTCAATTTTTCGGAAGGATGTATGGCCGCACGTGGCTTAGCTGTTGTGGGGTCCGTGGGGAGCTGTGGCCGCCCTCCAGAGCAGCCTTCGGCCTCAGGGACATCAGCGGCCCGAGCGCCAGTTCCCGTCCCTAAGACGGCGAACGGCCGGCCGGGGGAAGGTCACACAGGACCTTTCTCTACTGTTTTACAACGCACGCAGAGTCTATAATTATTTGAAAATAAAAGTTTGAAGGAGAAACAGGGACACATGATCACACCTGCCCCATGCCTCGCACTCACAGACCAGCCACCCCCGCGGAGCCCTGGGACTTGGCCTCGAGTGGCCGCCGAGGCCTGGCCCCTGCATCTGCTCTGGGCGGGCCGCGGTGGGCGGAGCGCCCTTCCTCTCGAAGGGGACGGCTCGGGGCCTCGCAGGCACCCCCAGAGGCCAGGCTCCACCCAGGGCTGGGACTGGGCTCCTGGGCTGCGCTGGCTCGGACCCCCGGCTCTCAGTCTCTGTCTGGGGCACAGCCAGCAGGCCGGCCAGTCCCCAGGACAGGAATTCCCATCAGCGTTCTGCGGGCAGGAGCCCGTTTGGGCAGGGGACCCGGGAGAGCACTGCGTCCGGCCCCACGGGTCCGCCCACGGCTGTGCTTCCTGCTCTGGGGCCAGTGTCCCGCCCACCCTGCCCGTTGCCCAGGGCTGTGCCCAGGGCCGCAAGGCTTATCTCTGCACCAGGAACCAGCTCCGCCTACAGTTCCACTTTCATTTTCGCTTTCCCGGTGAGGACAGAGGGGCCGGGAAGCGGTGCCCAGCAGGTTCTGGCGCTGCCCAGCCTCAGCGCCTGCTGCACGGAGTCTATAATTACTTCAAAAGTAGCGGGCCCCGCTGGGCACAGGCCTCTCCTGGCAGCTGTGGCCGGGGCGGCTGCTGTCGGCTGACCTCAGGATGGGTGTCCCCGACACCTCCAAGCCCCTGGATGAGGAGCGATACTCCCGGCAGCTGTGAGGCCTGGGGTGGGGAGGAGGGGGGGTGGGGAGGAGGGGGGTGAGGAGGATGAGGGGGGGAGGATGAGGGCGGGGAGGAGAGGGTGGGGAGGAGGGGGTGGGGAGAGGGTGGGGGAGGAGAGGGGTGGGAAGGAGGGGGGTGGAGAGGAGGGGGGTGGGAGGAGGGGGGGGGGTGGGGAGGGTGGGGGAGGAGGAGTGTGGGTAAGGAGGGGGTGGGGAGGAGGGTGGGGAGGAGAGGCGTGGGGAGGAGGGGGTGGGGAGGGGAGGAGGAGGGTAGGGAGGGGGAGGAGGAGAGAGGCAGGTGGGGGAGTCGCTGAGGGTACTGGGAGGGGGTGGGGGTGTGGGGAGTAGGGCGGCTGGGGCAGGCCGAGCAGGGAGGGGGAAGGATGGGGGGGGTGAGGCGGGGGGGGAGGAGAGGTGGTGCGGGGCAGGGGCGGCGGGGAAGGAGGGCGGTGGGGCTAGGTGCGCGGACGGCGAGGTGCGTCGGGAGCGAACACAGACCTAGAGGTTGGTTACTGAGGATTTGATGTCTTCTGTTTTTCTGCGTTCGCTTTCTGGACAGCTCTGAGTTTCCCTCTGCCTTCTGCTCTACACGCTCCGCCAACTCGCGCCCCTTCTTCCCTCCCGTACCACACGAGTCACGTTCTGGGCTTGCGGGGCCATGCAGAGCCTCCAGGAGTGGCCGGGCCCTGCTGTCCGCTCCTGCAGGTCCTGGTGCGCCGAGGTGGCCCAGAACCTGGTCCTGTTGGGCGTGGCCGCCCTCACACCTGCCGACCCCCGCAGCCCACCTGCTGGGCGGACCTGGCGGCCCAGGTGGGGCCGGGGAGCACTCCCAGACCAGGCCGGTGCGGGCCGGGGGGGTCTTACCTAGCTCAGGCCCCGGTTCTCTCCAGTATCTTCATCTCGACGCAGGACTTGGGACAGGGGAAGGGCGGAGGACATCGTCGGATCGAGTGGCCAAGCTCAACGGGGCGGTCCAAGTCTGCGCGCACACGGGCGGCCTCACCGAGCAGCTGGTGCGGGACTTCCAGGTGCGCCCCCGCCCCCCACGCCCCCCACCCACGCCAGGCCCCCCTCCCCTCCCCCCCACCGACCCCGCCCTAAGACGACCAGACCCGCCGCCAGGCCCGACCCCGCCCCCCTGCCCCCCCCCGCCGCCAGGCCGCCCGCCCTCCGCCCCGCCCCCCGCCCCCCCCCGCCCCGCCCCCCCCCCGGCCAGGCCGCCCTCCCTCCGCCCCCCCCGCCCACCACCCCACCGGCCGCCCCGCCCCCCCGCCCACCCGCCCGGCCCCCCCCCGCCGCCAGGCCGCCCGACCGCCCCCCGACCCCCCCCCCCCGCCGCCAGGCCGCCCCGCCCCCCCGCCGCCAGCCCGCCCCGCCACCCCCCGCACCCCCCCCCTCCCCCCCGCCCCCCCCGGCCCCCCCCCCCCCCCCCCACGCCGCCAGGCAGCCCAGCACCCCCCGCAGCCAGGCCGCCCGCCCTCCGCCCCTCCCCCCCGCCCCCCCCGGCCCCTCACCACCCCCCCCCACGCAGCCAGCCGCCCCGCCCCCCCCGTCGCCAGGCCGCCCCGTCCCCCCCCCCCCCCCCGCCCCCCCGCCCCCCCCCCCCCCCCCGCCCCCCCGCCCCCCCCGCCCCCCCCCCCCCCCCCCCCCCGCCCCCCCCCCCCCCGCCCCCCCCCCCCCCCGCCCCCCCCCCCCCGCCCCCCCCCCCGCCAGGCCGCCCCCCCCCCCGCACCGCTCACCCGAGAGCCGCAGGTGGTGGTGCTGAGGCCCTCGGAACTGGAGGAGCAGCTGGCGGGTGGGCAGCTGGTGACAACAAGCACCGGGTCCCGCTTCCTGGTGGCCGACACCCGGGGCCTGGTGGGGTGAAGTGGGCTGCCCCGCCCGGCCGGCCCGGGGCACCGATTCCGGTGTCCAAGGCCCACCATCCGTGTCCCCCCACCGCCTCCGGCCGCTCCCAGCACCCTCTCCTGTGCTGGACCCCTGGGGTCCCCGCCTTCGCCAACCGGCGTGGTGGCCGGCCATGGCTCAGTCCCGTGACCCCCGTGAACTCTGCCGCCCCCCGCAGGCAGTTGTCTCCTACTGCGACTTCGGTGAGGACTTCACGGTTCTGGACCGAACGAGGAGCCCACTGACCGCTGGCCCGTCCAGCAACATCTCCCAGATGGGTGCGCTGGGCGCGGTGGTGCGGTGGGGGGTGCTGGCCGGCCCGCGGAGCGCAGGCCCCGGCCTCTGAGCCGCCCGCCCCCCAGGGCTCCCCGGGCGTCCTCACGCTGAGGACCGCAGCCGAGGCCGGCTACTTCCGCGAGGTGGACGCCGTCACCTTCTCCGGGATCGAGGGCATGAGCGAGCTCAACGGCTGTGCTCCCCAGCCCGTCCGCCTGCGGGGTAAGCCGCCAGCCCCAGGCCCGGCTCAGCGCCCGCCCCCGCGCCGCCCCGGGGCCTCCAGGGCACGGTGCACGATGGGACGGGGTGGGGAGGACTCGGGTCAGAGGGCAGCTCGAAGGATGGCTCCCCCTCCCCAGAGGACGGGACCCTGGAGATCGGGGACACTGCGGCCTTCTCCGCGTACGTCCGCGGCGGTGCTGTCACCGGGGTCCCGAGGCCCGCGACCGTGAGCCACGTGCGTGCGGGCGGCTGAGGCGGGAGCTTGGGAGGCCCCAGGCCCCCCCCCCCCCCCCCCCAGGTTCCGGGCCTGACCCTGGGCCCCATGCCCCGCAGGCGCCCCTGGACGCAGCCCTGCTGCAGCCCCGAGTGGTGGCCCAGGGTCCGCAGGAGGCTCGCCGCGCCCGCTGCCTGCACCAGGCCTTCCGCGCGCTGCACGGCTTCCAGCAGCTCCGAGCCCGCCGGCCCCGGCCCTGGGACCCGGTCAGTGGCCCCTGGTGCCCCCCCAGCCTCCGTCCCATCCCCCGCACCCACGCTTCCATCCCAGGAGAGTGTGGCTCAGCGGCTGGTCACGCACGGTCCGATTCCCCGTCAGCATGCAGGCCCGGGTTGCGGGCTTGATCCCCAGTGGGGTATGCAGGAGGCAGCTGGTCCATGATTCTCATCATTGATGTTTCTCTCTTCTCTCTCTTCCTCTCTGAAACCAGTAAATACATATATATAATTCCAAATATATTTTTATTCATTTCGGAGAGGAAGGGAGAGGGAGCCAGAGATAGAAACGTCAGTGATGGTAGAGAGTCATTGTTTGGCTGCCTCCTGCACGCCCCCTGGAGGGGACACGTGCCCTTGACCGAGGATCAAGCCTGCAGCCTGGGCCTGTGCCCTTGACCGGAATTAAACCCAGGACCCTCAGTCCACAGGGTGACATTCTAACCACCGGGCAAAGCCAGCTAGGGCAAAATATATATATATATTTAAAATAAATGAACAGTAAATAATAAAGCCGAGCCTGGGTCCCGCTCCCTCTGCTCAGGGTCCTCTCCGGAGGCTGCCAGCCTGGCCCCGGCCTGTCTGCCCTCCCCCTCGGGCTCGGCTTCCTGCTGGGGAAAGGGTGGTGGCTGCCTGCGGGGCTGAGTGGGAGTGGGGCTCAGGTCAGGCTGCTGAGCACAGAAGCTGCCCTCAGGCGGACGCGGAGGAGGTGGTGCGCCTGGCCCGGGCGCTGGAGCCCCTGCGGGGTGCGGAGGGCGCCGGGGAGCCGCTGGACGAGCCGCTGGACGAGGCGCTGGTGCGGACGGTCGCCCTGAGCAGTGCAGGGGTCCTGAGCCCCATGGCAGCCGTGCTGGGCGCCGTGGCCGCCCAGGAGGTGCTGAAGGTGGGTGCGGCCGGGCAGGGGGAGCTGGAGGGAGCAGAGGTCACGGGGGTGGCAGAGGCCCCGGAGGTTCCCGCCTGGGTGCAGCCCGCCCCCCCCCCCAGGCGCTCTCCGGGAAGTTCCTGCCCCTGGACCAGTGGCTGTACTTCGAGGCCCTCGACTGCCTCCCGGAAGAGGGGGCGCTGCTTCCCGACCCCGAGGCCTGCGCCCCGGTGAGTGGGGCCCGGGTCCTGAGCCGGGAGCCGTGGGAAGCGGCCGAGCACAGCCGCAGCGGCGCTGACTGGCCGTGTCCCCCAGAGAGGCGGCCGCTACGACGGGCAGATCGCCGTGCTCGGGGCGGCTTCCAGGAGCAGCTGAGCCGCCAGCGCTACCTCCTGGTGAGCGACGGCGCGGGGCGCGGGGGCGGGGCGCGGGGGCGGGGGTGCGGGTGTGGGTGCGGGTGCGGGGCGCGCTGGGGGCGGGTGCGGGTGCGGGGCCGCGCGGGTGCAGGGGGCGTGTGCGGGTGCGGGTGCGGGTGGGGTGCGGGTGCGGTGCGGGGCGCGCGGGGGGCGGGTGCGGGTGCGGGGCGCGCGGGGTGCAGGGCGCGAGGGTGCGGGTGCGGGTGCGGGTGCGGGGCGCACGGGGCGGGTGCGGGGCGCGGGGCGGGGCCGGCCGGCTAAGCCCTCCTGCCGGCAGGTGGGCGCCGGTGCCATCGGCTGCGAGCTGCTCAAGGGCTTCGCCCTCGTGGGCCCTGGGGGCCGGGGGCAGCGGCGGCGTCACCGTGGCCGACATGGACCACGTGCAGCGCTCAACCTCAGCCGGCAGCTCCTCTTCGGGGCCCAGGACGTGGAGGTGAGCGCCGCCCGCCCGCCCCCGTCTCCAGCGCCCGGCGCCACCCCCAGCGTCCCCTGCTTTCTCCCCAGAGGCCCAGGCAGAGGCCGCAGCCGAGAGGACGCCAGCCGCCCTGAACCCAGACCTGCAGGTGACCCCGCTCCCCCGGCCAGTGGACCCCACGACGGAGCCCTCCTGTGGAGACCGCTTCTTCTCCGGGCCTAGCCGGCGTGGCGGCCCGACCTGGACAGCTTCCTCCCCTCCCCCCCGTGAGCGCCGGCCTGGGGACTCCGCCGCCATCCCCCGGCCACCGCTCCGCCCCGCCCTCGTCCCTGACCCCCCACCCTCCACCTCCGCCCCGCCCCCTCCCCTCACCCCCCCCTCCTGACCCCCCCTCCGCCCCGCCCCTTCCCCTGTCCCCCCACACCCTCCAGCCCCGGCCCCGCCCCTTCCCCTGACCCCTCCCCTTGACCCCCTCCCCGGCCCCCGCCCCTTTCCCCCTGACCACCCCTCCCCTGTACCCCTCCCCGCCCAGCCCCTTCCCCTGACGACCCCCCCTCCTGACCCCCCTCCGCCCGCCCCCGCCCCTTCCCTGTCCCCCCTCCCCTGACCCCCTCCGCCCCGCCCTCCCTTCCCCTGACCCCCCCACCCCCCACTCCGCCCCGCCCCTTCCCCTGTTCCCCCCTCCCCCTGACCCACCTCCGCCCCCGCCCCTTCCCCCTGACCCCCCCACCCCCCACCTTCGCCCCCGCACCCCGCACTTCCCCTGACCCCCCTCCCCTGCCCCCCCCCTCCCGCCCCGCCCCTTCCCCGACCCCCCCCACCCCCCACCTCCGCCCCCCCCGCCCTTCCCCTGACCCCCCTCCCCTTGCCCCCCCCTCCGCCCCCGCCCCTTCCCCTGACACCCCCACCCCCCCACCTCCGCCCCCGCCCCTTCCCCTGACCCCCCGCCCCGCTCCCCCAGGCCGCTACGTGGCTGCCCGCTGCGCCCACTACCTGAAGCCGCTGCTGGAGGCGGGCACGCAGGGTGCCCGGGGCAGTGCCTCGGTGTTTGTGCCCCACGTGACCGAAGGCTACCCGCCCGCGGCCTCCGAGGGCCCCGGGGACGCCCCCCACCCGGTCTGCACCCTGAGGCACTTCCCCAGCACAACGGGGCACACCCTGCAGGTGGGAGCCCCGGACCCCGTCCGTCCCTGCTCAGTCCTCAGCGGCAGGCTGACCCCCGGACCCCCTGACCCCTGACCCCTGACCCCCCCCGCAGACCCCCTGACCCCCCCCGCAGACCCCCCTGACCCCTGACCCCCCCTGCAGACCCCCTGACCCCCTGACCCCCCCCGCAGACCCCCTGACCCCTGACCCCCCCCGCAGACCCCCTGACCCCTGACCCCCCCCCCCGCAGACCCCCTGACCCCCCCCCCCCCGCAGACCCCCTGACCCCCCCCCCCCCCGCAGTGGGCCCGGGACGAGTTCGAGGGCCTCTTCTGCCGGGCCGCCCAGACCATCAACGGCCGCCAGCGGTGAGGCCCCCGCAGGCAGGCGGCGTCCAGGGGCCCCTCCGGCCTCGGGCTCCGCCTCAGACCCCCCCCCCCTCCGCCCCCCCCGCCTCTCCGCAGGGCCCCGGCCTCGCCGGCAGGCCCCGGCCCCACGGGGACAGGGGAGCCGGCCCTGGCGAGGACGGTGGGCGTCCTGGACCGGCGGCCGCAGAGCTGGCGGGACTGCGTGGCCTGGGCCCGCGGCCACTGGCAGCTGAGCTTCGGGCACGGCGTGGCGCGGCTGCTCGGGCGCCACCCCCCGGGCGAGGTGGGTGCGGGGCCCGGGGCCCGGGGCGGCGGGCGCAGAGGGACCGAGCCCAGCAGCACCCTCTCCTCAGGTGCTCCCGGACGGAACGCGCTTCTGGTCGGGACCCAGACTCTGTCCTCGGCCCCTGGAGTTTGATGCCAGCCAAGTGAGTGGGGCCCGGGAGCCCCGAGGGCACAGGGCCCCTGCACCCCGGACGGGTGCTGGCACACCGCGAGGGGCCCCGTGGCGCCCCGGGCCGGCAGGGGCAGCATCGGACGCCGGGGCGGGGACCACACCGCACCCACGCCGCTGGCTCTCCGCCCACCAGGACACCCACCTCCTGTACGTGCTGGCGGCCGCCAACCTGTGCGCGCGGATGCACGGGCTGCCCGGCTCCCGGGACCTGCCCAAGCTCCGGGACCTGCTGGAGCTGCTACCGCCGCCCGACCCCCGGCGCCTGGACGCCGTCCTGTCCGGCAGCCTGGCTTCCCCCGAGCTGGGTGAGGCCGCCCCGCCCAGGCTCTGCACTGCCTCCTCGGAGGAAAGCGGGGCCCTGGGGCCCTGCAGCAGCCCCCGCCACTCAGCCCCTCCCTGACCCCACCCCCCTGGCACCTTTGGTTTTGTTTAGGAAGGGAGAGGGAGAGAGAGAAACCTCGATGATGAGAGAGAAGTGATTGGCTGCCTCCTGCACATGCCCTGACCCGGAATCGAACCCTCAACCACTGAGCCACGCCGGCCGGGCCACTTGGCAGGTTTTTAAGCAAAAAAAGCACAAACCACTAGGCTCTGAGGAGCTCTTATCTATGGCCCCAGGTTAGGACAGGGTCATGTAGCACACACATGCATGCAGACACACACACACAGAGACACACATACACACAGGTATACAGACACACACACACAGACACACACACAGACACACACACACAGACACATATACACAGACACACACACAGACACACATACACACACAGACACACTGACATACAGACACACACAAACACACACTCACACACAGAGAGACAGAGACAGACACACACACATGCACACATGGTGGAGAGGAGACAGCAGCGTCAGTGTGGGGGGACCAGGAAGGGGCCCGGCTCGGGCAGTGAGGGACAGGCCGGCCGGACTGTCCGATCCTCCCCCCCAGGCCCTGGGCAGGACTGGCTGCGCGAAGCCCTGCAGGACTGGAGCCGAGGCCCCCCGCTGGAGCCGCTGCGGTTTGAGAAGGTGGGAGCGCGGTGACCTCTGCCTCTCCCCTCGAGGCTGGCTGGGCGGCGGGAGGCAGGCCGAGCCTCTGGGGGGACCAGCGCCGCTCCCCTTCCCTCCTCTGCTGGGCAGGGAGAGGGGACGCCGGGCGGAGCTGAGGGGAGAGGGGACGCCGGGCGGAGCTGAGGGGAGAGGGGACGCCGGGCGGAGCTGAGGGGAGAGGGGACGCCGGGCGGAGCTGAGCGGGGAGGGGATGCCCCGGACAGCTGTGGGGGGATCGGGCCCCGCACTCGGTGGGGGCACGGGAGGTGCTCACGCTCCTGTGACCTGAACCCCCAGGACGACGACAGCAACTTCCACGTGGACTTCGTGACGGCGGCGGCCAGCCTGCGGGCCCAGAACTACGGGATCCCGGCCGCCACCCGCTCCCAGGTACCTGCTGCCGGCCCGCGGGGAGGAGGGGCCCAACCCCGGCCACACCGAGGCCACACCCCGGCCGCACCTCGGCCACACCGCGGCCACACCGAGGGCCCACACCGCAGCCACACCCTGGCTGCACCGAGGGCCCACACCCCGGCCACACCCCATCCACACCCCAGCCACACCCCGTCTCCTGTCCTTGGCAGAGCAAGCGGATCGTGGGCCAGATCATCCCGGCCATCGCCACCACCACCGCGGCCGTGGCCGGCCTGCTGGGCCTGGAGCTCTTCAAGCTGGTGGGCGGCCCCCGGCCCCGCAGCGCCTTCCGCCACAGCTACCTGCTCCTGGCCTGGAACTGCTACAGCCGCTCCGTGCCCCGCGCCCCCGCCGTCCACACGGTGCGCTGACACCCGCCCTGACACCACCCCCTCCAGCCCGGCTCCCGCGCCCACAGCCCACTCTGGCCGCTGGCTGCACCGAGACCGAGACCCGAGCCTTCCTCCCCCACAGCCCCTTCCTGCTGCAGGCCGCCAGCCTGCGGCCTGTCAGACACAGGAAGTAGCCGTCAGCCACCCGCTCCGCTGCTCCACGGCCTGGGTCTGGGGGAGCGGCAGCTTTAACTCATTAGTGAGCCAGACAGGCCAGCCCCCTCCCCCAGGAGTGCGCTGGGGGAGGGGGGGGGCCCAAGCAGAGCTGATGGCCGCCTCCCTCCCTCAGTGGCCTCAGCCTGCACGGCGTGGGGTCTGCCCTCCCCATCCACACCGAGGTGCAGGGCACCCAGCTCCTGGCGTCCCGGGGGGCGGGGGGGCACGCAGCCCAGGATGTGTGTCCGGGCACAGGCTGCTGCCCTGGGCTGGGTGGCACGGAGGGAGCGCGCCTGCACATCTGTGTGCCAGATGGGAGGCAGGCTCTCCTTCAGCGTGGCTCTCAGGCGTGCCCCTGCGCATGTCCCCGGGGAGCAGGGCTGTGAGGGGCCCTGGCCGTGCCCCGCGCTGCCGCCGGCCTCTCCCGGGGCACAGGAGGGCTGAGAGTGCCCTCACCAGGGGAGAGGCAGAGGTCAGGGGCTGGCGTGGGTCCCCCAGGGCACGGCACACAGAGGGCTTTGTGAGGGCCAGGAGCACACAGGCTGCCTTTGTCCGGGGCGGGGGTGGGGATAGGACCCCATCTCACCCGGTCTTGTCGCAGCCTGACCCCACTCTCTGCCCTGGGGGGCTGGCAGGCTCTCATGTCCGGTCCCTGGCGGCCTGCCACCCTCTGCCCCTCCGCTCTGAGCACTGGACCCCGGACTCCTGAAACGGGGGAGGAGGGGCAGGGAGAGGCGGCCTCGGGGGCTGTCCCAGCAGACACGCTGCCCTCGCCCCTGTGCCCAGGAGCAGCCGAGGCCCCGCAAAGCAGGACGAGGCGGGACAGGCTGCACCCCTGTCCCAGCCCCCAGGCTGCGTCTGAGGAGCCTCCCGCCAGGGCCGGCTCCCGCTTCCTCAGGAAGCATCGCCCTCCGCTCCGGCAGGCCGCCCTGATGGATGCTGGTTCCCCTGTGCGGGGGCCCCAGGCCCGTTTCCTGTGTGGCCGCTGCGGTGGCTGAGCCGCTGGGCCCTGAGCCCACTCCCACCCCCGCCCCGGCTGCCGCTTCCCACCGGCCAGCGCCCCCCCGGGGAGGCCTCCGCGGGGCGGGGGAGGGTGTTGGTGGAAGCTCCTCACTCCGTCCCCCCCCCAGTTCCACCGCCTGACCTGGACCTGCTGGGACCGCCTGACGGTGCCCGCTGGGCAGCCCGAGAGGACCCTGCAGTCGCTCCTGGCCCATCTCCAGGTGTGCCTGCCCTCCCTGCCCTTCCCCGCGCCCCCCACCCGCCCCGCCGCCCGCACCCAGCACCTGACCTCTCCCCCAGGAGCAGCACGGGTTGCGGGTGACCATGCTGCTGCTGGGCAGGGCCCTGCTCTACTCGGTGGGGTGGCCGCCTGAGAAGCAGGCCCAGCGCCTGGGCCTCAGGTGAGCCTGCCCGCTCCGCCCTGTCCCTGGAGGTTGGAGGTGGGGCTCCCCCTGTCCCTGGAGGCTGGAGGTGGGGCTCCCTCTGTGCCTGGAGGTTGGAGGTGGGGCTTCCTCTGTCCCTGGAGGCTGGAGGTGGGGGCTCCCCCTGTCCCTGGAGGCTGGAGGTGGGGCTCCCTCTGTGCCTGGAGGTTGGAGGTGGGGGCTCCCCTGTCCCTGGAGGCTGGAGGTGGGGCTCCCTCTGTGCCTGGAGGTTGGAGGTGGGGGCTCCCACTGTCCCTGGAGGCTGGAGGTGGGGGCTCCCCTGTCCCTGGAGGCTGGAGGTGGGGCTCCCTCTGTGCCTGGAGGCTGGAGGTGGGGCTCAGGCCTCTCCTCTGGCCCCATCTGGCCCCTCACACCTACTTGATGCTTCCTCCGCCAAATGGAGCGGGCAAACGGGCTGGGGGTGGGGCGAGGCCGAGCGGCCGAGGGGCCTCCGGAGCTGCCTGCTCCGGCCACACACCCGGCTCCTCGCCCTCCTTGCCCGGCGCCCCCTCCGGAGCCCACTCCCCAGGGACTGCATTTCCTGCCTCCCGCGGCCCCGCCAGCCGCTCCGAAAATAGCTGCAGATGTTTCCTGTCTTGAGCCGCTGCCGCTCCTGGCCGGCTCCTCCTGGCCCCGGTCCACGGTCCCTCTGCTGCCGCTGCTCAGCGCCCCAACCCCCCATCTCTCCCCCCCAGGGTGACGGAGCTGGCCCAGCAGGTGACCAGACGGCAGGTGCCCCAGCCCGGGCAGCGGGTGCTGGCCCTGGAGCTCAGCTGTGAGGGCGAGGAGGACGACACGGTGTTCCCGCCCCTGCACTACGAGCTGGCGCCGGGCAGCAGCTGCCCCACGCCCCCGGGCTCTGCGGGCCCACAGTAGACGCTCAGTAACAGCCCGGGCCCACAGGGGGCGCTCAGTAACAGCCTGGGCCCACAGGGGGCGCTCAGTAACAGACCCCGGGCCCACAGGGGGCGCTCAGTAACAGACCCCGGGCCCACAGGGGGCGCTCAGTAACAGCCCGGGCCCACAGGGGGCGCTCAGTAACAGCCCGGGCCCACAGGGGGCGCTCAATAAACGCTGCTGCATTACGTCGCACACGCGGAGGCTGGGTGACGAGCTGGGCAGGGTGTGGCGGGCGCACAGGGGCCCTGGAGGGGGCGCTCTTTAGCTCGCCGGCCCGGGCTGTGCCTGCGGGCCGGGCCTGCTCCCAGAGACTGGGCTGTGGAGCCAGGACAGTCCGGGCGGTCTTTATTGCCGGGCGGCGGGCGGTCAGAGGTAGCTGACCATGTCGGTACAGACGAGGGGCCGGCGGCTGCGGCAGCTCATGAGGGCGGCGAAGCGGGAGGCGTCCGTGGGCAGCTCGGGCTCGGCGCGCGGGGGGCATGACAGGCGCTTCCCGGCCACGGCTGCCCGGCGGGCCCTGGCCAGCTGGCGCCGCAGCTGCTCCGAGAGGCCCAGCAGGAACTGGGGGGGCCGCGCGCGGGCACGGGGCGCCCCGGCGCGGTCCCCCTCGCCCGCGGCCTCGGGCAGCTCCATCCAGTTGTGCACCAGGTCGGCGAAGCAGTTGTCGCCCAGCACCAGCGGCTGCCGGCTCCGGCCTCGGCTCAGCAGGGCCGCCGTCCAGTCCTCGGCGTCCAGGCAGGCGTCCGGGGTGGACCTGGGCCGCGGCCGGTGGGCGGGGGGCGCCCGGGGCCCCGGGGCCCCGCCGGGCAGGGGGAGGCCGCTGGCGGAGAGGCGCTGGCGGTGGGGGCGCCACACGGGGGCCGCAGGGCGCTCCTCCTCTCGCCAGGTGCTGCCCGACACCTCGGAGAAGCCCGAGTCCCAGTCCACGGCGGGCTCCCGCGGGCCCTCCCCCGTCACCGCGCCCTCCTCCTCCTCCGAGTCCTCCGCAACGCAGGCCGAGTCCTCTTCCAGGGCGTCCGAGGCCCTGAGCCGGGGCTGGGCCCCCGGGCCGGGCATCGGGGCTGTGTCCCGGCCACACGGCTGTGGAGGAAGAGAGGGCAGAGGTCGGAGGGGCAGTGCTGGCCACCCCTCCCGGCCTGGCCAGGCCCATCCCAGAGCAGAGGGCCCGGGGCGGGCAGCAAGGCCTCCGGGAGCACAGGGCACACACGGGCGCTGGCACACGGGCTCCAGGCTCCCGGTGGCAGGCGGCAGGCTGCGGCACGCAGAGCTGGGCAAGTCAGCACCCGCCACCCACCGGGCAGGCGGGAGGCAGGGTTGCGGGGCAGGAATTGGGAAGTAGGTCCTGCTCGGGGCTGGGGGTTTGGGTGGAGCATCCGGTGCGTTTGAGGGATCCAGCCCCCCAAGCCCGCAGAGCACCAGCCAGACGGGTAGAGCGAGGAGGTGCAGGCAGACCTGGGAAGGGGCACCCACAGCAGCCCCAGCGCCTCTGGGTCCCTCAGTCCCCAGTTCGATCCCAAAGGAGCGTCTGTCCCGCCCCCGCCGCCCGCAGCACGGCCAGCTGGGCCGCTGTTACTTGATGCCCCGCGCAGCTCCCACCCGTCCGAAACCCGACGCGGGCCATCTGGGCCACCGGGCCGCTCCGCCCCGTCCCGCTTGGGACAGGCCCTCGGAGCGACCCCCCACCCGGCTGTCGGTCGGGCCGCCGGAGCCGCGCACCCCGCACGCGTTCCTGGGAGTCACCACATCGAGCCTCACCAGTTCCCCGCGGGGCTGGCCCAGGAAGCTGTCAAGCCGAGCGCTGTGCATCCCGCGCCGAAGCCCCCGCCGGGCCTGCCGGGTCCCCTGCGAACTCCAGCCGGAGCGGCCGGGGGCACGGGGGCCGCGGGCCGGGGCGCCCTCGCCTCTGCCCAGACCGCCGCTCCGCGCTCCCGCCGCCGCCGCCGGCGCTGCCCCAACATCTGGCGGCCTCGCCCCACCCCTGGCGCCGCAGCCAATGGACGGGGCGGGGCTGGCTGAGACCACGCCCCGTGGCGGGACGGCGGGTGAACACCACCCCTGGCGCCGCAGCCAATGGGCGGGGCGGGGCTGGCTGAGACCACGCCCGTGGGCGGGACGGCGGGTGAACACCACCCCTGGCGCCTCAGCCAATAGGCGGGGCGGGGCTGGGGAGGTCACGCCCCTGGGCGGGGCTGGCGGTGAGCGCCACGCCCACTGCGCTCTCGGCTCCGGCGCCGGGGAGGGCGGGCCGCTGGGCCGGGCGGGCCGGCCGGGACTCCCCGCCACCCGGGGCGGCTGAGCTCACCCCGGCTCGCTGCGAGGCCCAGAGCCAGTGGCTCCCCCGCGGCAGCCTCAGCTTCCCCATTTGTCCCAAGACGGAACTTGGGTTCCTCCTGCGGGGGCGCCCTCGTGCGGGCAGAGTGAGCCCGACCCCGGAACCCGCTCCCGGGCCGCGGGGACAATCCCTGGAAGTGATGGTGGAGCCCGGCCCCTGGAGGACTCAGCAGCCAGCAGGGGCCCTGGCGGCAGCACCGGGGAGGACCCTCTCCCAGGGCCGGCCCCGCCCCTCCTGCCTCGACCGGGCCCGGCTTGGCCTTGGCCGGGCCGCCCTCTGGTGGGGGAGCGCGGGGAACGGCGATTCCTGCGGCGACATCTGCATCCTCCCCCCTATCCTTTCCCCCCTTCCCCCTTCCCTTCCGTCCCCCGCTACAGACTGAGGGGTGCAGGGGTCAGGGCGGCACTTGCGGAGGCGGGGAACGGCAGCACCAGGGTTTCAGGCTGGGGTCAAGGATACCGTCCAACGGGAGACAGAGACCAGTCAGCAGCCAGGAAAAGTAGGCCGGAGAGGGGACGCAGAGGGTCTGAGGAGCCATGCAGGGAGAGGAAGAGGGCCTTCCAGGCGGAGGGCCGGCCAGGGAAAGGCCCCGGGGGACAGGAGTGGACAGGCCTTCACACCAAGGAGGCCCACGATGTGGATGGAGGCCGTGGCTGCGGAGGGCAGAGGTCAGCGGCCTCAGGGACCCATCGGAGTCTTTGTTCTTGGGGGGATGGGGTCCTTGGGCGCGTCTGAGAGCAGTGCCCTGGGCTGGCTCCTGTTGGGGATCCCCGCTGTAACCAGAGCGGAGGCGCCTGCCCTCATCCAGCATGGGCGGGAGGGCCTGGGGCTCAGCGGGGCTGATGAGAAAAAGGGGTTCATGTTGGGGTATGATTCAAAGCTAATATGAGCAGGGAAAGAGAGCCTCAAGCATGACTCCTGGGTGTCTGGCCTGCACGTCTGGTTGGGTGGGACTGTCATGAATCCATCCAGGAAAGACTGGAGAAGAGTGGGTTTGCCAGGAAAATCAAAGCACCGGCACCAATCCATCGAGGGGTGGGGCGGGTCAGCCCCAGGGGTGTGGCTCCGGAGCCTGGGAGGGAGGTCAGCACTGAAGCTTGGCTGGAGGCAGAGGGCGTGGATGGTGCTCAAGGCCAGGGCCCGGGATGTGACGGCAGATGGGAGCTCAGGAGTCAGGACTGCGCCCGGAGCACCCTGCTGGGTGGAGGCAGGAAGATGAAACAGAACAAATGGACAATTCTTTAAAATTTTTTTTTTATTTCAGAGAGAAAGAGAGAGAAACACCAATTATGAGAGAGAATCATCTGCCTCCTACACGCCCCACACTGGGAATGGAGTTTGTAACCCCAGGATATGCCCTGACTGGGAATCAAACCGGGACCTCCTGGTTCCAAGGTGGATGCTCAACCACTGAGCGACACAGACTGGGCCACATGGGCAATTCTTAAAGGTACAGCCCAGTAAATATTAAAACCTGTAGACACGTGTATATCTGTCACCCAGATCAGGATGAAAGACACCTCCCGCTCTGGGTACCCCCAAGACGCCGCTGTTTGACCTCTGTCACCAGGGCTTCCTTTGGTGACAGGTAAACAGCTTCTGGGGGATTGTGTTGATGGCTGGGCTCCGATTTTGTAGGCCAAGAACCTTCTTGGGGGGTGGCAGCTGGAGTTCAGACACCATGGTTAGCCCGTCGCGGGCCCCGTGTTCCTGGGCGCCCTCCTGCCCGTCTCCGAGGACTGCCTGACCCAGACTTCCTGAGCTGTTTCCGTGTCTTCTCCCCGCTCCCCACCTCCGGGTTGCGGTAACGAACGGAGGAAATCCAAGAGAACACGGGGTTTTACGGGCCCCTGGACGCCTGTCTGGAGTCTAGAGCTCCGTCAGGAAGGGGTGCGGGTGGGGAGGTGGGGGAGTGGGTGGTGGGTGGGGCCACCACCTGGGAGGCCCGGGAGGCCCGCCCACCCAGTGTGTTTGAGCAACTCGCCTGGCAACAGGCGGGCTGGCAAAGGCAGCTGGCTTTCCTGTCCCCTCCGCTGTCCCAGTCTGCAGGCTCCCTGCCGGGGCATCAGCTGGCGCTATGGCGCCGGTCAGGCCCCTGGCCATTCTTCTTGCTCTGGCTGTGTCTGGTGAGGAGCTGGTGGGTGGGGAGCCCCGCTCTCCCCCTTCCACACCCTCCACCGTGGAGGCCTGACCTTCTCAGAGAAGCTGCCTGGAGGGGAGAGGAGGGGAGGGCCGGGGCTGAACTCCGACCCCCTTTCCTGCCTTGGCTTCTTCCTCAGCCAAGTCCTCGCCCCAATCTGCGACATGAGCAGACTGCAGGCCGGGTGTGGGGGCAGAGGGTAGCCCTGGGCTCCCCTGGGCGGGGTTCTAGGTGCGAGGGCGGGGGGGAGGGTGCTCCGGCATGACCACCTCTCCCTCCCAGACCTCCACGGCCTGCCCTGGTTCGTCAATGTCTCCGAGAGCCAGGGGCCCGGCGCCCTCCTCTGGTCTTTCTCCTTCAACTGCTCCTCCGGCACGCCCTCCCTGAAGCTGCTCTGGGTGCAGCCGCCCAGCCCCTTCTTCAACCCGCCCAGCCTGGCCCGGTGGCAGGGGCTCCATGTGGGGCAGGTAGGTCCCGGGCAGCCGGGAGCAGGGAGAAAGGGCAGACCTGCAGTCACAGAGCCAGAGGTTGGTGCCGGGCCTTAGGGACCGGCTCCTAGCAACGCTCCGATGGCGCGTCATATTGTGGATGATTCACACTCGACCCTCTGGGGGCTGCTGGCACCCCGATAGAAGGGCTGGTGGCCCATGAATGGGGCCGAGAGGAGTGTGCCAGTGGAGACCGGGCAGGAGAGTGTTGGGAGGTCCCGGGGGAGGAAGCCCAGCCCCCAGCAGGCCCCCTCCCCTCACAGCTGACCTTGAGCAGCTCCGCCCGGCTGGACGCCCTGGCCGTGAACCACTATGAGCTGCAGCTGCAGGTGACCTGCGGCAGCGAGGTGATCGAGGGGCCCCTCTCCGTGAACGTGCAGCGGGACCCTGACCGCGCCCAGTGTGCTGGCCGGTTTGCCAGCCCAGGTGAGGCCAGGGCGGCAGGCAGGGCGGCAGGCAGGGCGGGCGGGCGGGCCTGGCCTCAGCACAGCCTCCTGGTCTCCCTGGGCAGCCGGCGAAGTCATCCAGGTGCCGGAGACGGTCGCCCCGGGGGCTCGGCTCTACACCGTGCTCCCCGGCCTGGAGCTCCAGGGAGCGCAGGTGAGCCAGCAGGCGGCAGCCTGTGCGTGTGCGTGTGCGTGTGTGTGTGCATGTGTGTGTGTGTGTGTGTGTTGGGGGCGGCAGCGTGTGTGTGTGTGTGTGTGTGTGTGTGTGTTGGGGGCGGCAGCCTGTGCGTGTGCGTGTGCGTGTGTGTGTGTTGGGGGCGGCCGCGTGTGTGTGTGTGTGTGTGTGTGTGTGTGTGTGTGTTGGGGAGCAGGTGGGGGGTGCAGAATGGAGGCGGCTGGGGAAGCCCAGGCTCAGCCCCTGCCTGGCCGGGAACGGCCTGCAGAGGGAGCCTTTTGCGCGCAGCTGCGTCTCTGCAGGGCACACGCTCATGAGGGCGCCCTGCCCATGGCTGTGGCCATGGGAACCTCTCAGGGGCGAGCTCAGCTCTCTGTGCTCTGAATTCCCCACGAAAATCCTGTATCACCGTGTAACGTGAAAATACAAGTGCAGTTCACGCGCGCACACACACACACACACACACACACAC